TAATAGCCTAATTTATGAATAAATTAAAATTGACGAAAAAGTCTTGCAATTTGAGATTGGAAGAACGAATCGAAATATAAATTGCTGACCCTCCGGTCCTTGGGTAGTTTCAGCATCATCGCCAATGAAAATATCTGTTATATCGTTGCTATTACAAGAGAACGGGCGTCTAGGATAGAATGAAGGAGATATTTTTTTACGCCTAAACGTCAAGTCCGTACGTGCGGGGCTTTACGTGCAGGAGTAAACGGGGGAACCTTTACCTCACGGCCTGATGATTACCCAAGGGGTTATGGTTATGGGAAGAAGCGAAGAAGAGCACCTCGCCCATTCAAGGAGCCCCCACGGGTAACGATTCTGCCGAGATTAACCCCATGGGCCCGGGATGAGGAAATTCTGGAATGTGAAACGTTCTGAGTTGTTTATAGCCTTCGGATAAATTGCCCCTTAGCCTTAATACTTAGAAAAAGCCTAAGTGTTCATAAAATTCAAAATGGACAAATATCAGTTCTTACATAAATTTATACATACAATAGGGGTAGTCGCGATGTTTATAAGACGTTAACTCGAATAGAGAAATGTCCAATAAGATCGTGAATACCCCCTTTTTTTCTTAGCATGTTAAACGTTAATTTTTCCACAATGCTGCGTGTGGCGACTGGCAGAACCAAAAATAAAGCTATAACAGTCCTTGAAGGCTTGTTGTTTGTTTGGTTTTTTTTTGTGTTAAAGTATAAGATGCCAGAAGTTAGTAAAAAAAGGAAAATTAATCAACCCTTTCATTCAAAATGCTATCTATACACTCGAAAAATACTAACAAATGACACGCTTCAATTCGTGCCGACATACCTAACCTGTATCCTAACCTCTAACAGCTTACAACTTCATCGGATAGGGGATCTATCTGATATGAATGAGAGTATAAGGACAGGTCAGAAATTAACAAAAGAAATGTATTAGCCTGCGTAATTTAAGAATAAAAATACGTAAATACGTGTAAACAAAAAACAGCTGTTAAATTCATGGCTGCCTTGTTATTACCTACGCCATAACGGATAGCAATGTGACTTCATTTTCGACCTAACATCTAACATTGGCTCTACCCTGTTAGATGGAGCAATGTTAACTAGCCGATTTTTACAAGTATAAGTCATTTATCTCGATCTAACACGACCTAACAGAGTTAACAGGGTTAACACAAAGATCTTGAATACCCCTTTCCATGGTTAATGATTAAACGTTATTTCTTCCGTAATGCTGCGTGTGGCGACTGGTACAATTAAAATTAAGCTATAACAGTTCTTGAAGACTTGTTGTTGTTTGTTATGGTTTTGTTTTGTGTTAAATTATAAAATGCCAGAAGTTAGTCAAAAAGGAAAATTAATCAACTCTTGCATTCACAACGCTATCTATGCACTCGGAAACTAATAGCAAATGATACGCTTCAATTCGTGCCGGCATTCCTAACTTGTGTCCTAACGTCTAAAATCCTACAACTTTATATAGGGGATGTATCTATGATGTATTTATTATGAATGAGAGTATAAGGATAGGTCAGAAATTATCAAAAGGAATGTATTGTCTGATTTAATTATACGTATTTAAGAATAAAAATACATGTAAACAAAATACAGCTGTTAAATTCATGGCTGCCATGTTGTTACCTACGCCCTAACGGATAGCAATGTGACTACATTTTCGACCTAACATCTAACATTGGCCCTAGGGCCTAGCCTGTTAGATCGAGCAATGTTAAGTCTACGCCAACATATTTCTCGATCTAACACGACATAACAGAGTTAACACAAAGATCGTGAAAACCGCTTTCCATGGTTAAAGATTATACCACTGGATTATTATACCAATGGCCGACGTCCCCTTAAGGCTTGTTGTTGTTTCTTATGGTTTTGTTGTTTGTTAAATTGTAAGATGCCATTAGTTAATAAAAAAGGAAAATGAATCCACTCTTTCATTCAAAATGCTATCTATATTCGGAAAGTACTAATAAATGACATACCTTACTTGCATCCTAACGTCTGACAGCCTACAACTTTATAGTTGGGGGGATGTATCTATTATGAATGAGAGTATAAGGGCAGGTCAAAAATTAACAAAAGAAATGTATTGTTCTGATTTAATTAATGCGTATTTAAGAATAAAAATACGTGTAAACAAAAACAGCTGTTAAAGTCATGGCTGCTATGTTGGTTACCTATGCCCTAACGGCTAGCAAAGTGACATTTTCGACCTACATCTAACATTGGCCCTGGGCTGTTAGATCGAGCAATGTTAACTAGCAATGTTAAGTCTACGCCAACATATTTCTCGATCTAACACGACCTAACAGAGTTAACACAAAGATCGTGTTCATGTTTACTATTCTTAAGTAAATCCGTTATGAAAAATGAGGATTAACATTTTTTTAGGTTGTATTATTATTATATATATATCTAATCTAATCTATATATCTATAATATATTATTATTATATCTAATTAAAATTAATAAAATAAGAATAAATTACAACTATCCCTATTTATTTTTAAGCATTTTACATAGATAAAAAAATGAAAAATATTTGTCGTGCTAAAACGTAGCATCAACTCAGGATTTGCGGTTATACATCCCAATGTTGAATTATCTACATTTGCTTATTAACGTTAAGCTAATTGGAAAAGTTAGATGTTAAATATTTGGGATTAATTTTTGATTATGAATTAAATTTTATGTTTCGTATTGATGCTTCGGTAAAAGAGTTTAGAAAATTATTTTATAAATTTAAAATTTTAAGAAATATTCGCCAGCCAGATTTAACTGGGTTTATTTTTCGTCAGCACGATCCTTGATAACATTGTGGGAGATTAGTTTCGTGCGGTACCACAAAATCTAAAATTTCTCCAATAATTATTGCTCAAAATTCTTTAATAAAAATATTGCTGTATAAACACAGAAGGCACAACGCAAAACAACTCGACGTTGATTTTAAAGTGTTAAAAATCAACCAATTATTTTTGATGTATTCACGTCTTGAATTTGAATTTTCCCTCCTTTTTGCTATTTTCATTCAAAAGGTGGGGTTGAGATGGGAAGTTAGTGTCCGAGTGGATCGAAGTCACGATAGCTCAAGTGGTAGAGCAGCGGCGTATCTAGCCGAAGATCGTGGGTTCGAATCCCGCTCGTGCCATTGACTTTTTATCTCAACTAAAAACCTTAATTAATTGTAATATATTAATTGGTCAAGCGGACCACGAAATTCGTGAATTTAATGCATATAATGTAGGTCCGATCCAAATAGTTACAGACCTGTTAGCCTACTTAGCTCTTAGCAAGATATTCGAGGGTGTTACGCTGCATCCCTGCATGAAAACAGCATCATTATGCCGGAACAGTTTGATTTCAGGCCAGGACTATACATACCACTGCCCAATTAGCCAGGATAGTAGATGACAAAACGCTAGCGTTTAACTTACGAAAGCATACTGGCATGATAGATGTCCGAAAGACCTTTGAGACTTTTTGGCATAATGGTATAGTCAGCAGGACGATGGAATATAGCTTCCCTCCATACATAATAAAAATAGTCTACTCATGTCTCTTATCCGTGTTTCCTTTGGATGATCCCTTTCCCAACCGAGACATTGTTTCTGGCGTTCTTCAAGGCTCTATCCTTGGACCCATTCTGTTCCTCCTATCTTTTATGAAAATACTTCGCCCCAAGAATGTAAATTTGGCTCTCTACTCCTCTTTTTGGGGGATAGACACGATATCGAACAGAGTAGACAAGGCAATGCGTTGCGTAGATTTTGTTTTCAGCAAGCTAGACCGTTGCTTTATAAAAAGATTCAATTTGAAGGTATAACTGTGTCGTGGTCTGAGCAGGTCAAATATCTTGGGGTGATATTGGACCCTAAACTCACTTTCTTCCCTATGTCAGTGACAAAGTAAACAAGGGCAAAGCGGCTATCCGAGTACTTTTCCCTTTGCTCTGCCTCCAGCCTAGCCTGTCGCCTGCCAATAAGCTTCTTCTGTACAAGGTGATGGTCGGGCCGGTGATCCTGTATGCGTGCCCCTCAGGGCCTGACATGCAAGACTAATGTCGCCAGGGTGCAGGTTGTGCAGAACAAGTTTCTGAGGCTTGCGATGGACAAGCATATCGGAACTGCACTATGCGGCAAACATGTTGTTGGTGCTGGAATACATTAGAGTTGCAATTATTAAATTTTTGAAGCAATGCGAAGCTAGTACCATCACAATCTGCCAAATAGGCAACTATTGCCTGGACGACAGGTACATGCACAGAAAAAGAAGGCTGTCTTATAAATTGGCCAAAATAGCTGGGTTTTTTCATCTAATATTAATATATGTTTTTTTGTCTATTTTTGTAATGTATAAAACTATTTTTAAGCTCACAACTCCTGCTCCCAGGCAAAAGTTAAACTTACTGAGAGCGGGCAGTTCATTTTAAATTATTTTGTTCTACAAATAAATTCATTTTTGTCTTGTCTTTTTGTCCAGAAGGCGGTCCTGCGACCGGAGGAAATTGTTGATCCGAAATGGGGGGAAATGATCGTAATTCTGAGGCGATTGTAATCAATGATAATGAGGTGGATTTGTTTTAATATGGGAAAAAAAATAGCATGTGTAATTGAATGAGCATGGAGGTCAGATTATTTCAATTACTGGGTATTCAGCACCCCGCTGCTGGTTTGACATGCAATCGCCCAATTTTTTTCTTTGAAAAATGTAATTTTTTTTAAACGAGGGATTGCAACGGCGGAGGTTATATCGACCCTCGGGGTGCCGGTGTTTTTGAAAAAAATCCTATTTGTAAGTTGCTGGATTCGAACCTTCGGGACCTTCACCCAATAGTGACGAAGGCCGTGTCAACGCCTAAGCAAATGCTCCTTCCCAAAATGACATTTCTGGATTAATTATTTAAAATTCCACTAATATGATTTCAATGTTAATGTTCTAATGGAAATTCCTCGTTTCTGCTTTCAGTGAAACCGTTCTTCTCGAAGGAGCCTTCGGACGTGACGGTCGTCGCGGACTCGAGCGTGGAACTCGAGTGCAAAGTCGGCGGTGATCCCGTGCCGAAAATCCTCTGGAGAAGAGATGACGGAAAAATGCCAGTAGGAAGGGCGAAGATAACGGACGAGAAGAACCTCAGGGTAGACAGGGTTCAGCCTGAAGACGAAGGCGTCTACATCTGCGAGGCGTCCAACCTCGTCGGGTCGATATCGGCCAAAGCCGCATTAACCGTCCACTGTGAGTAAAATAGTTTGTCTTTCCTCTTTTGTGTCAATAATAGACAAAGTTCTTCAGTTAATATACCCGTTATTGAAACTGGAGTTTTGTTGTATTTTCAAAAAAGTGCCCGAGTTATTAAGAACAATTGGATTTTAAGTAGTAAAGTTAGAAGTACGATCGAAAAAGCTATTGAATTAAAGAAAAGCAGTTTCAAGAATTTAACTTTTCTTAGTCTTAGATATTCAGTGCAGTAAATGGTCTGTAGGAATGATATTTTTCTAATTACATCTAATAAAATACTTGTGTTGTAAACGTGTTGCTTTTTATTTTTCAGCCGCCCCGAATTTTATAGTAAAGCCAACGGACGAGACGGTGTCGTTAAACGGGATAGCAGGCTTCGAATGCCTCGCAGAAGGTAACCCGCGGCCGTCCGTCTTCTGGACGAAGGAGGGCAGCCAGGTACTCATGTTTCCCGGGAACTCTTACGGCCGGTTCGCCGTGAGCCCGTCCGGAAGGTTGAGCATTAACGGCGTCCTCAGGGAGGATTCGGGTTTCCTCGTATGCTCCGCGTTGAGCGTAGCCGGTTCCGCCACAGCTCGGGCATTCCTGCAGGTACGCCTTATCAACTAAGGGGCATCCTCGGCTTTTTTTCTCTACTTAATTCTATTTTCCAGGTAAGGTCCGTTGGTGACGTCCCTCCGCCGATTATCGAAGTGGGTCCTGCCAACCAGACCCTACCGCTCCACTCGCTGGCCACTCTTCCATGCCAAGCGGCCGGCGACCCAAAACCAAAAGTCAAGTGGTTCAAGAATGGAGGCCAGCTCGCGTCCAGCAAGAGGATCATCATTTTTGAAAACGGAACACTCCAGATTGACGGTACCCTTAAAAAAATTAAACCAATTGAATTCTGTATTAATTAAATAGCCAACATTCAATACCACTTACTAAGTTAACAGGAGTATTCACGATGTTTGATGTTGTTTTTTGCTGGTAAAGTAGTATGTATGCAAATGTTAGGGGTATTCACGATCTTTGTGTTATTCTTGTGAACTCTGTTAGGTCGTGTTAGATCGAGAAAAATGAAGTCATCAACTTGTAAGAATCGGCTATTTAACATTGTTCGATCTAACAGGCCAGGGCCAATGTTAGTTGTTAGGTCGAAAATGTAGTCACATTGCTAGCCGTTAGGGCATAGGTAACAAACATGGCCGTCTTTTCTAGTGCATAGATAGCATTTTGAATGATCAATTTTCCTTTTTTATTAACTTCTGGCATCTTACAATTTAACACAAAACAAAACCATAACAAACAATAAGGATTGTTATAGCATTATTTTTGGTTCTACCAATCGCCACACGCAGCATTGCGGCCAAATTAACGTTTAACGTGCTAAGAAAAGGAGGGGGTTTCGTTCACGATCTTACTGGAGATTTCTTTCGAGTTAACACGATTTAACATCTACAAACATCGTGAATACCCCTATTATATTCATCTCATAAATATGTTGTTTTTCATTCTGCAAAACCAATAATGAATGAAAGGAATGAACCTCTCAAATGTGTAGGTTAGGAAAATTGGGGATGAATCGGTCGCTCGAGAAAAAGGTTACTTATACCTGCGGTGAGGAATCTGTCTGTCCCCGATTGGTATATATTACAAATGTGATCACTGTACATTTTTCGTATCGCTCGGTCACAGCACTAACACTAATGCAGCGTTCCACCTGGAGAGCACATGCCGTCAGGAACCATGCTAATGCTAACTCTGTTGAAATGTGAGGAATTAAGGGGCATGGAGATCACGAGGTCATCGTCGATTAAGGCGACGTGGCGGGTTGTTTGGAAGGGAATGTGCAGAGAAGGTTCGAACTGTAGGGTTAGGATGGATTGAGAGGTTGTGTGAAACTTTTGGAATCGGAAACGGATCAGTTCGTCGACAAATGGAGTGTTGACGTCGTTGTTAGTGAGGTTAGTGAGTATAATTTTAAGAATTGGGTGTGCTGGATGTTGGATGGCTTGGCAGACCCCATAGTTCAACTCCGTATGTCCAAATTGGTCGCTTTAAAGTCTTGTATAAGGTTAATCAGCCTTGACGGTCTAGGCGTATTTTGGTCCTGGTAGTCTTCGTAGTTGTCCAAGTCTTTTAAGAAAGTGAGAGGTTTCCACGTCAGTCTGCTGTATAAGAATAATCCCTAGGTATATGACTTCAGTGGAAATCGGTAACTCTTTGTTGTTGAAGTACAGTAGAGGACGAGACTGATTTTTTTCCTTTCGTTTTCCTTCATTCAGACTTGTCCTCCACGTTTTGCATCAGTCTGCATATGCTCAGGGTGTTCTTGAACACTGGAGGTACCTTGGGTAGGATTCGAGTTAGACGACAGAATTGCGATATGTCCGCATAGGTTATGATGATCGTATTGGGATGTGCAGGTAGGTCAGAAGTATATAGATATAAAGGATGTGGCTAAGGTGCACCCTTGTGAGACGCCGGCTTGTATCACTGATTTCCGATCCCACTCTGAAGCAGCGGTCTGTCAGGTAGGATTTCAGGATAAGATAATGAGAGGGTAGGAAGCGTTTATAAAGATCCTACCAAAAGCATGTGCTACATCTAAGAACGCACCCAAGCAATACTTTTTTCTCGAGAACCAAGGAGACAGGATCTGAAACCTTGTTGGACTGTAGCTTGATGTAAGCGGAAGCTGAATTAGTGAGGGAGAATTATGAGTATCTAGGATGGGTATTAATGGCTTAAAAATGGTCGTTCGAGGATTTTGGACATTGCAGGAAGACGGCTGATGGGTCTGTAGGAGGTTATGTGGTTAGGAGGTTTGTGAGCTTCCATAAGAGAAGGTTAGGGATGGTTAGTTATTAAATTAAGTATGTAACTTTGCGCGCGTAAATGCTTGTCAGAGACCTTTTACCTTGATAGATGAAATGTCGAAAAGAATTCTTTATAAGAAATTCCATCTTTTGTTTAGTAATTTTGTCAGCTTTCCCCGAGAACAAAATGAATTCCCTTGCAATTTCAAGTCATGAAATAAGCCCCATGAAAATTCTGAATTAGCGTGTAATTAGGCCGAATTCTCCCCCACAATGGTTAAATAACGATTCGAGGAAGGGGTTGGGGGCGGTAATAACGCCGGCGTTTCTTAGATTAAACATTAAACTTCGCAAATTTACCCCTCGCGCGTCCTCTTTCTGAAAACTGGGAACCGGTTAATTTAACCGGGAACAATAAGATTTCAGGCGATTACATGAAAATCCCCCGGGAAAATAAACGCTTGAGAGGCTTTATTGAACCCGAGGAACGGCTTTGAAAATCACACGGGTCTGTGAAAGTGCAGGGTGTTTCATGTCGAGCCATTTGGATGCCCTTGTCCTAGGACAATGTAAACAGTATAACTCGATATCTCCCAGCCACCCTAAACAGCACTTTGTCAACGTCGTAATTTTATAACAACTATGGTAAACTATGAATCATACCTCCTCGTGGCTCGCTACGAAAAATGGGCAAACACAATTTGGCTCTTGTTATGAAAATCGTTAATTTAAACATTCTCGGACAACACTTTTTTTTTATCTGTCCCCAACTCAATATTACAATTTACATCTAGTCAGCTTGAGATCTGGTCCATCTGTTTAATTAAGAAGGTGATGGTTAGTAGGCTTACTTTCAATGGACAAGGCTAGAAGCATGATGCTTGGCTGACTCGATACAGTGCGTGTAGCACCTTAGCTGCTTAATAAAAAAAAATGTTCCCTGCCATTTCGACAACACCCTGGTTTTCAACGAACACTCTTAAAAAAGCGACGTGCAGGGTGCGAGGATTAGATCCAATCATGGTGTGTGCAACACGTGTGATAGCATAGAAACATTGGAACACATAATCATGTGTCCACTCTAGGAAGAGAAACGCAGGTTGATGCTGAGTGATATTAAAAACGTGATGGGAAATATGGTAGGATATCCAAATACACTGACAGGCAAAAAATTCCGTCCACTTGTGATATAACTTAATTTGTATATATTTTTATATCGTCATACTTTCTACCAGTCTGGAAATGTCTTTGCTGGAGGTTAGCCCGTTCTTCACGAAGATTCTAGATCGTGGAATGTATCATGGAGGGGATGGACGTGCTCTTATTTGTTTTTTGAGGTTATCCCATAAATGTTCGATAGGGTTCAAGTCTGGAGAACAGGCTGGCCAAGCTAAGACCCTGATGTTATGCTGTTGAAGGTACGTTCGTACATATGTGGTCGCATGATGTTCCAAAATATCATCCACATAAAGAGTGGCGGTCAAGGACCCTTCACTAAGAATAGCCAATTCCTTATGACTCTCCATTGAGATTCCCGCCTATACCATCGCTGAGCTACGTTGAAAAGGTCGGTTCTGGGAAAAATGACAAGCTTCTTAGAATAGCTCTAATAGGATTGTCGCTGATTTCATCGTCAAAGAACTTCCACGAACAACAACCAACACTGTCCACCTCTCTTTTGAAATTCCCGCCCAGACCATTAGTGAGTTACGTTGAAAAGGTCGGCTCTGGGGAAAATTACAAGTTCTTACCTTTCATTTCGCCTTCTCCACACTCTTTCGCGCCTATCTGGAGATCGTAGAGCAAATCTACACTTATATGTAAAAAGTGCAACAGGCAATGGCTGTGTTCGCGAGCAGTGCGACTCTGTGTGTTCTGGTCCTCTTACAAGGCGAAAAGCCACCAGTCCCTACTGATATAATCTTCGAGCAGTGCGTTCAGAAGTTTGGACACCTCGAATTTCCTGAAGCTGATGAATCGCTTGAACAAACAATAAGGTGCCAATTTCGCAAAATTCCCAAAGTCAAACCCTAGGGCGTCCAAAACCGGGCCTTCTATGGTAGGACCCAGTTTCTTGAAAACTTCAAACGGCGTCTCGCAGTGTATCGTATGGGACAATAGCAGCATACCTGATGGAACGTCCATCATCAGTAAGTGCCACACCACGCGCAACATCCTCAGCACTAAGTGGCAATTATTAATGTAATTTTCACTTGTGTGGGAGGGTGAGTATAAATCAGATTGTTCGTTTGTAAAAATTTTATTGTTACCAGCTCCACCCTTGGAGGCCAACAATTTCATTCTTTATTGGAACTCATTACTGGAAAGTCCCTTTGCTGGAGGTTAGCCCCTTTTTCACGAAGGGTGCTTTCAAGATCGTGGAGTGTATTATGGAGGTGATGGACGTGCTCTTATTCCTATTTTGAGGTTATCCCATAAATGTTCGAGGGGGTTCAAGTATGGAGAACGGCCTGGCCAGGCTGAGACCTTGAAGTTATGCTGTTGAAGGTTCGTACTATGCCAGGACATATGGACAGTCATTATCGTGCATTAGAGTAGGATTGTCGCTGTTTTCATCGAGGATAGGTCATGATGTTCCAAAATTTCATCCACATAGCGACTGGCCGTTAATGACCCTCCACGAATAACAACCAACTCTGTGCAACTCTCCTTTGAAATTCCCGCCCACACCATCACTGAGGTAAGTTGAAAAGGTTGGCTGGGGGAAAAATTACAGCTTCTTACATCCATTTCGCCTTCTACACATTCTTTCACGTCCATCTGGAGATCATAAAGCAAATCTACTCTGATCTGTAAAAAGTACAGCAGACCAATCGTCCAAAGACCAATGGTTGTGGTCTCGAGCAAATGGTAACCGTGCAACTCCGTGTGTTCTGGTCAATTCTAGTCCTCTTAAGGAGCGAAAAGGCATCAGTCCATAATGGCTTAATCTTTGGACACCTCAAACTTCCTGGACTTGATGAATCGTTTGAACAACAGTAAGGTGCCAGTTTCGCAAAATTCACCAAGTCAAAAAAACGGTCATCCTGTTTACGCTAGGATGTGCAAACCCGAGCCTTCTATAGTAGGATCCAGTTTCTGGAAAACGTCTAACGGAGTCTCACAGAATTCCGTAGGAATCTCCGATGGCAATAGCCGCATACCTGATGGAACGTCCATCACCAATAAGTGCCACACCACACCCAACATCCTCAGCACTAAGTGGCATTTTTAAGTTTAAAAATGAAATTAAGAAAACAAAGATGAAAACTAAACAGTTTACTGCTTCAGAATTCAAATGAGACCAAATAAACATTTTAAATTCCGTAGATTTTTTTTAAGGCACAGGGGACCTAAAAATGTGTCAATCGAGAGAAAACTCTACTCATCGTTTTTCTTCCCAACGCAATACTTTCTCCTCCTTTAAAGGGAAGAACTGGGAGGAATAACTTGAATTTAAAAGTTCAGTCAAAAAGGAACATTTTTTTCTTATATTTCCAAACTATTTTAACGTCTACAACGTAAAAGTTTTTATTCACAACATTAACGAATATAAAAAATTAACCACCAACTTAGAGGTTATCACATCGAGAAATCGAATAAGATTAGAGATAAAAATCAGAAAAGCATCAGAAAGACATAAGTATCTAATCACGAAAAAAAAGGTCTATAATGTAATTTTTTAGCACAAAACATAAACGAACAAAAACACCCTCACGGCGGTGCAAAAATTTGCTACTTTAAAAATAATAGAATAATTTGAAAACCATGGGTATATATTATTATTTATTTTATACAAAACATAAGATAAAAAATTAATCAGTTGCTTTTCTTTCTTATTAACAACTGGCGTTAAATTAAATTAGTTGCGGACCATTTTTTCCTAGACCACTGAAAATAAAATAATGGTTTAATAGTTAACTAACTAATTTGAAATTTTATTTAAGCCATTTAATTAATTATTTTCTCGCGTTACTTCACTATTACTTTTTGGTAGCAATTTGAGATTTACGGAAAAAGAGGAGTGATGGCCACGCCATATTTATTAATAACGTAAGGTCTTGGTTGAAATGAAAAAGCCAGCGTCACGAGCGGGACTCGAACCCACGACCCTCGGTTCAACCCGCCGCCGAGGGGGTTCGAGTCCCGCTCGTGACGCTGGCTTTTTCATTTCAACTAAGGCCTTAAATACAAGGAATAATTAATTGAAAGTTGTAGTTTGGTCAATCAAACCACTAAGCATAAAGTATTTATTAATAATACACACAATTTTAAGTACTTTTGCTTTTTACCGAGATTTCTCTGTTAATTTAAAAGAAATCTTGGCATATTTGGCAACAAAAAATTAAGAAACGCCTAAGGTTTCATTTTATTATAAAAAAAGAAATTAATTTGACCTTTTAAACGAAGGAAATTAAGTTTGAAAGTATTGTATTTGAGAAAAAAATCCTGATTAAAACTGGGATTTTTTGAAAGTATGATAACTTTTAATATACTGCTTGGATTTGAGCCAAACCGAGGTTAAAAGTTGCAGCTTAAAACCAAAAATGTGAAAATCCTAGGACGTATCTAGGAGGGAGTGAAGTTAAACAAACCGTGCTGATTGGTTGTTGTGTGGGAGAAAACACAAAAATGGCAAAAATTTTGATTGGATTTTTTGACTTTCATCTCCTATGACTCTGCGACCCCCAGCCGATTTGGCTGAAAAACAATCCCAACCGTCCTTACAGGATTCTTTACCAACCTACCAAATTTCATTACAATGTGATTAAAACATCAAAACTCTCTAATTCTCTCCAATTGATAAATTGTTTTACAACTTGCAAACAAAAATTTATTATTTATATTTTAAAAAATATATTTTGGTTACTTTAATTAATTATACTTTATATTTAAGGTGTTGGTTGAGACGCAAAACAGTGTCACAAGGAGGATTCTAACCCACGACCTTCAGCTCAAGCTCAAGTGGTGAGAGCAGCAGTGTATTCGGCTGAAGGTAGTGAGTTCGAATCCTGCTTGCAACGCTAGCTTTTTCATCTCAACCAAGACCTTTGAAAAAAAAAAATTAAAATAGTTAATATGGCCAACTATGACTACTAAATACATATATGGATTGTTGTTGTTTCTATTAAAAAGGTAATTTTTCAAAAAGTGAAAAAATTTATTAACATATGTTTTAAATAGATTTTGTATGCTGAAGTAGAAGCACGGCTGCTTCAAAATATATAAATTTTATAACTGTTCCTAACACAAAAATGTCTGCCAAGTGAGTAGCTTCCTCACATTTTATGAATATGCTTGCGCATAAATTAATCCACGTGGAATAAAATTCATATTCATATCATATATCATAGGGGACGATATCGAAACCGACCTGCACAATCTCTGAAAATTTCATAAAATTTGGTTTCACTGTTTCGCCGGTTACAAAGAATTGAACACAGACAGACAGGCACACATGGAACCAAATTTGTTCAAATTCGATATTAGAAATATTGATTTTGTAGGAGCACACATTACTAAAGGACAGTGGAGGAATATAATAAAATTTGTTCAGAAGTTTTGAAACACAAAATGGGAGTTGACATTCTGATCTTGTAGGAGCTCACATTAAAAAAAAGACAGTGGAAGAATATAATAAAATTATTCAGAAGTTCTGAAATGCAAAATGGGAGTGGAAATTTTGATTTTGGAGGACAATTTTTTTTTTAAACTTCCCGCATGAATACAATACTTCTCTTTCTTCGGTAGTTTGGAAGAAAAAGTAATCTACAAGATATTAAGGAAAATATTATTTTCCTAACATAATAAGCAAAATAGTAATTATTTATCCTAGTAATTGCATTACTAGCAATTTGGGTAGTGAATAATGAATAATTTTTATTTGCCTGTTGCCTCATCAGTTAAATTCAGCAATCATAACAGATCCTGTTTTTAGACCTTGAAAAGAGCGATTCTGGTCTTTACACATGTACTGGAGTATCTGAAAGTGGCGAAAGCTCTTGGTCCAGCTCACTTTCTGTCGAGGAAAATCCGGGTGCCGAGCTGCACCGCAGTCCAGATCCGAGCGTTTTTCCCAAACCCCCTTCAACTCCGAGATTGTTAAATTCGTCAGAATCTTCTTTGACGGTAGCGTGGGATCCTCCCCAAGGCACTACAACATTGATCGGCTACACCCTCGAGTACTACAGTCCCGATCTTCAAACTGGATGGGTTGTGGCTGCACATAGAGTGAATGCTCATTCCATCGTTGTAAGTATTAAAGCAAAACTAATAGTGTTTTTATATTAATAATTTATGCCCTGTAGGTTAAAGATTTAAAACCAGATACGAGATACGTATTTATCGTCAGAGCTGAAAATTCATTTGGGCTTTCTGTCCCAAGCAATATATCAGTAGTGGGAAGAACTTTAAGCAAAGATTCAAGAGCAGTACCTCCCCAACAGCTCGATGAGGCCAGAGCAAGGCTGGGCACAAAAGTGCTTACATTAATGGAACTTGTCGCGACATCTTCTACAAGTGTGCGTGTCACTTGGGAGGTCCTCACTGGCGACGAGTACTTGGAAGGTGCATACGTCAGGTTCAGGGAGCTTGCAGGCGGTTCTCATAAGTACAATATGGTCACTGTGATGAATGCTGGTGCTACACAGTACACTGTATCTAACCTGAGGAAGTTCACTAAGTACGAGTTCTTTCTTGTCCCTTTCTTCAAAAGCGTGGAAGGACAACCGTCGAATTCGAAAATTGTTCAAACTCTTGAAGATGGTAAGTCAATATTTCTTTCAATTTTATACATAATGTGATGTTGATAATTACTTTGATACTATTAGAAGTGTTGTATGTATTGTATCAGTTTATAATGTTATAATGATGAACAAATTTGTCATTAGGGCATTGTAAACTAATGTGGTAAGCTACAATTAATTAAGGTTTTTAGTTGAGATAAAAAAGTCAATGGCACGAGCGGGATTCGAACCCACGATCTTCGGCTAGATACGCCGCTGCTCTACCACTTGAGCTTTCGTGACCTCGATCCACTCGGATACCAACTTTTCATCTCAGCCCCACCTTTTGAATTTTCCCTCCTTTTTGCCAGTTTTCAAATGTCGTGTAATCGGATTGGATTCTCGACGACAAATGAAATGGCCACGGAGAGCTTTAGTGAAGTATACTTCATTTTAAATCATTAAATTCACTAATTTTGTGGTCCGCTTGACCAATTAATATCATTCAATTAATTAAGGTTTTTAGTTGAAATAAAAAGTCAATGGCACGAGCGGGATTCGAACCCACGATCTTCGGCTTGATACGCTGCTGCTCTACCGCTTGAGCTATTGTGACCTCGATCCACTCGTACACCAACTTCCCATCTCAACCCCACCTTTTGAATTGTCCCTCCTTTTTGCCATTTTCATTCAAAAGGTGGGGTTGAGATGGGAAGTTGGTGTACGAGTGGATCGAGGTCACAATAGCTCAAGCGGTAGAGCAGCAGCGTATCAAGCCGAAGATCGTGGGTTCGAATCCCGCTCGTGCCATTGACTTTTTATTTCAACTAAAAACCTTAATTAATTGAATGATATTAATTGGTCAAGCGGACCACAAAATTAGTGAATTTAATGTGGTAAGGTTATGATACATAACATAGTTGGGTTATGTGCAATAGACATTGTGTGCATGTGTATCTGGAAGAGTGGGTGATTGTGGAAAATTTGCAGATCCTTTCCCTATTCGCATATTTAATGGACACGACTCCAGAAATAGAAATGTTTAACATTTTATGTCAATAATACATTCAAAATAGCTGATCAATGATTTTTCTTTTTCAGTTCCTTCAGCGACACCAACAGGCGTATCGTTTGAAATCATAAACACAACTTCGGTGTTTCTCCGGTGGTCACCACCACCACCGCAGCACTTAAATGGTGTCCTTCTTGGCTACAAGGTGGTCATAAGGAGCAACACATCCTTTGCTGAGACTAGTCTTAACACGACCACGGCATCGATGCTCTTGGGCAATCTCAGCCCGAAATCGAGTTACTCCGTGAGGATTTCAGGATTTACAAGAGCGGGACTAGGCCCGTACAGTCCAGAGGTTTCCATCAGCACCGTTGAGCCGCTGCAACGCCCCAGAGCATACCAACCATCCACTCCGACATGGCTTCTGGTTGTAACTGCCGGGTCTGCTTTAGTTCTCGGCCTTAGCTGCATTACAGCTCTCTATTTAAGAAGAAGACAACTATCAAAAGAACTCGGCCATCTCTCCGGTAATTTCCAGATTTTTTTTTTACTATTGAACATAAATTAATCTTTTTTAATTATGTAGTAAGTGGAAATGAAGTATCCCTTTTGCAAGGAGCTGGAAAAGACACTTTTTGGATTGAAAGGGGCGGATGGGGTAAAGAAGGAATTAACGGACAAGGAGATTATGCAGAAGTTGATACAAGAGGCCTGACAACGTTTTGTAACGTTAGAAAAGACCAGCCAACACCATACGCCACAACTACTTTATTGAATAGAAGGCCTTGTCCTGTAAGATTTTCATATTTTATCAAAAAAGGAAAAAATTTATTTATTATTATTTTTTTAAGGAACTTGTGCCTTTATCAGAGACGAAAATAGAAGAAGAACCACCGCAGGAAAACAACGAATCTGGTCTTTATTATGGTAAATTCTCAAAATGACCTATTCGAAGAGATCTGTTAAAAAAAACCAAAAAATTTTTTTATCTGCAGAATTTGATTCAACAGGTGAAGAAGTCAAGACAAACAAACTGCCTAGCAAGTTCAATTCCGCCGGAAATGTTGCCAATTGGACAGAATTCTTGCCACCACCTCCAGATCATCCACCCCCTCACCACAGGACAACTAGATCTATAAATCAGGTAGATATAATTTTCATTTCATACTTGATTCATAACAATTTTGCCACATATTTCATTTTTTTTTTTTAAATTCATGTTTAAACAAGCTCAGTGATACATTTTGAAGATGCATTTTTGATTATTTAGGAAATGTGTGTAAGCCCACAAGTATCAAGAAGGTGTCCTCCCGTACCACCGGCAAGAAACTATTCTCCAGCATGGCTCGATTCGAACAACTCCGTGAACTCAGAGCCTGCTCGCAAGCATTATCCACCTCCGATGCAAAAACCGCCTCCTGTAAGTACACATCCGTAACTGCCTGTTCAACCACCGTAATTCATTCTCCCACAGATTCCTCGATTTAACGTGGGCCATTCTCAGAGCAGCCACAGCAGCAGTTCTTCATGCCCATACCACAGATGCAGCAAATCACAAAACAGTGAAAACGCATCCTTACTTTACCGACAACCTATCAAGTAAATTAAGCAACTTGACAATTTATTTATACAAATGTATTTTTTTATTTTAATATTTACTATATTTTTTTCTCTTTTAAATTCCAGCAGTGAAGAATGTTCTCACTCACAAGACAAATGTGTTCAGTCAATGGTGAACTGTAGAAACTATAGAAATGGTAATGATTGGTTGATTTTTTGACAATTCTCAATTTAACAACTTGTTTGCTATACAGATGATTATAGCGGACCATGTTGGAATGAGGACTGCAGTTCACACGCAAGCGATACCGGGTGTTCGTGCAGCGAGTCATCGTGTTTGTACTCTGAGGCGAATCATGCAGAAATCTGCGCAAATTAATAATAAGGAAGTACTTTTCACTCCTAGTATTAAGCCCTGGATGTTCATACTTTTGTACATTTCTGTATATTATAATTGTTTCGACGTGTAATTTATTTTGTAAATTATATATCAATTTTCTTTTTTTTCTTTTAAGTTATAGTTACCAAGTCATTTGTACCCTTACAATGTGTCAATTTTAAATGGAATCATGACCTTTTTCAGAAACTTTAGTCATACAGAGATAAGTCCAATTTTTTGAACATAAATTTTCAAAAAATATTCTAACTGGGGTCCAAAATTAGTCCAAATCACATCCGTCAATGAACGTTTAAACTATTGTACTGACACAGCTTTGGTAAAAATTTTAAATTTGTATTTTAATACAAAACAAGACATATCTCAAAAGGATTAATTTACGTTAAAAATGTAGTTGCTTAGTCGCATAGTGTAGGGCCAGTATTGTATTTTTCTTTTGGAATTTGCTTTATGAGAGATGATTACCAAATGTAATAAAAAAAATAAAAAGTAAATAGGATCATTAAAACCTTTGTTATGTTGATAGACTGATAATTTATACAATTTGTATTATTTATATTTGTAAATATTGTAAATATATGAAAGCTTTCTTGTGTGTCCTATTTTATACATGTTACGGGGAATTTTTGTATACAATTATAATAATTCTTTTTACAATACATTATAACTAATTATTATGAATATAAAGTAGAAAAATAATTTTCCCCCACTCCAAAAATGCAAGTTTCAAAATAAGCGATCCTTGCGAGTTAATTGTGATAGAAAAGATAATCTACAAATTAAAATGAGTTTGATAATTACTACCATTAACCTAATAACCAAATGATTATACAATTAATGGATCGATGATGAAACCTTTGATTATTGTTTCAGCAGGGTGCCAGAATAAAATAATAATGATTTTAAAAAATTGAAAGAAAATGCTAAAACTTAATGGTAAAAAATTATAAGATGGAATGAAGAAGAATAAGGGAACTTACCCTTCTGGCTCCAGGTAGGCAGGCTTCGAGGAGATGCAGGACTCCAGGCCCGAATCCCTTGGTTGCTTCACCATCATATGTCGAGGAGGTTGGTTTGGAGAAGGAGAAAGAGAGAGGGGGAGAGAGAGAAAGTGAGGAAGGAAGAGAGAGAGAGAGAAAGAAAAAGAGAGGGAGGAAGGGAGAGAGAAAAAGAGGAAAGAAGATAGAGAGGGAGGGAGAGGGGGAAGGAGGGAGAGAGAGGGGGAAAGAGAGGAAGTGAGTGAGAGGAAGGGAGGGGGTGAGAGGGACGGGAAGGAGGGAGAGAGGGGGAAGGGAAGGAGGGAGAGAGGGAAGGGAATGAGGGAGAGAGGGGGAAGGGAAGGAGGGAGAAATAGAGGGAGGGGAAGGAAGGGGGAGAGAGGGAAGGGAAGGAGGAAGGGAGGGAAAGAGAGAGAGTGAGAGGAAATGAGGGGGAGAGTGGGAAGGAGGGAGAGAGAGTGAGAGGAAATGAGGGAGAGAGTGGGAAGGAGGGAGAGAGGGGGAAGGAGGGAGAAAGAGAGGGAGGGGAAGGAAGGAGAGGAATGAAGAGGGAGAGATGGAAGGGAGTGAAAGAGAGGGAGGGAGAGAGAGGGGGAAAGAGAGGGGAAAGAGAGGGAGGGAGTGAGAGGAAGGGAGGGAGAAAGAGAGACTTTTGAAGAGTAGAGAAAAAAATATATGGAGAAACAAGACAATAGCACACACAGTGAACATGAAAGAGCAACAGCCATGAGAGGCAGAATCTTAAAATCCTCCGGTCTGGCCGGAAGGAACAACAAGAACAAGAAGAAAGTAGTCGCTGTACAAAGTTCATATGAAACTCCCAAAAAGACATCCAAAAATGACATCTCAGGACGTTAATATTAATTTTTCAGGGATGGTAAAAATTGTGTAAACTAAAATTGGCCTAATGAAAAATCATCCTAGAAATGGATACAGGCTGAATTGAACAATTTATTCATTTCCAATCATCAGTAAAACTATTTGTAAAATAAATGGCTACAGAAAATTTAAGTGTGTGGTGTTTCTTTCACATCCTGCATGTATTTGTAAAATTTAAACAATGTTTTAAATCCCAGGTCCTGAAGATGATCTCAATAAAGGTTGGCACGATAAAGGAAACGTTTTTCTACCTACATCACACCAGACCGCATCGGTTTAGACGTTGACACAGTGCTTATCAATAAAAGGTAAAGGTCCCAGGTTCGAATCCAGCGACTCTCCATTTGAACCTGACAATTTTTTTTTGTCAAAAACAGGCAACCCTGGAGTGAGGATGATATGACCTCTGGCTCTTGTATTATTAATTAATTTAATTTAAAAAATATATAAACCAGTTTGAATTGAAACTTGCATGAACTGTTAATGTTAGAACTGAAATGTTAAAATTAATTTACAAAATTCAACGTGTCATGGAAAAAAAAAAAAAAAAATCAAATAAAGGTCAGGTAAAAATAATTAATACTTTATTTAAATTATGTTGGTTCACTTGTATAATCAATTTGTGGTGGCCAATCCAAACTGATTTCCTGAATAAAACGAAAATAAATTAAAAATTGTTTGATAGTTATTTAATAAAGCCATAAAACTTACTTCAACATCTAGTGCTAATATGTCTAAATCTATATTTCCTAGTAGTTCTCCTAGAGATGGTTTTGTACGACCGAAATCTCCATGAATGAACTCTTTTATATACGTGCCAGCTTGGGTGTTTAGGCGAAGAATGAATTTATTCGGCTCTGCAACAAAATAGATTAAAAAAAATTAAACGATTGAAAAATATTTTTTAGATTCGTGTGAATACCGTCTTCTAAGCGTGTGACCTTCATCCAATGAATAATCTTGAGCCTGACAGCGACGGGCCTCCTATGGAGTACCCTCAGTGGTGTTGATTGCTGTATTTCAACATCCTTGAGCGTTTCGAGTTTTTCTAGATTGTCAACTGGCTTCCCGTCGGGTCTAATGCAAAGTGCGCAGTACTGTTTAGTTTTTTTCTCTTCGCCTAACTTCACCGACGACACCGAGTGCCTTGAATAGTCATAATTAGAGCATACAGTTTTAGAATATTTCAAATTAAATAAAAAATTTCATACTTATTAATAATCTGCAAATCACGCACGAATATTTTTTCGGTTGAATTTTCGTTTATCGCATTCTCGAGAGATCTCATTTCTTTAAAACTGAACGTCGTCCTTTTCGGGTTGCACAGTTCAACATAAAATGGCCTTCCACGACCAATATTCCTCACATCTACATCTTCCCTCCCTGATGATGCAAATTTATATTCTAGAAAGATTCAGTTTTGAGATATATTTTGTTCTCTTGTGGCTTCGCAACAAAACACAACCTTGGGCTTTTGTCAGTTCGAGAATTGGATCACAGATCAATTCTTGAACGGAGCTTTCCATTTTTCTCTCTCCTCCTAGAATCCAAGGAGTTTGCGGTAAAACCCTAGACCATTTGTTATATCTGCCTACATTTTCAAAGTTATAGCCAATATTTACTTTCAAAACTTACGATAATACCTGCTATAAAAATGCTATTATGAAGTACTAAAAGTTCTCTAAATTCTACAGAATTATCCGGTATATCGGGTGGTATTTTATAATTATCCTTTAACAGCTGATCATCAACTTCTTTTAAAACATTCTCGGTACATTTTCGAGAGAAATTCTCAATACTACCCAAGTACTTTTTATTTTTTGTCTTGCTAAATGTTTCAGGAAACATTTTAAACCTGCAAAATTAACAATTTGTGACTGAAAAGAACAAATATAAGCAAAAAATTTTTTTTACGTACAAACACTCGCATTCTTTTGCTTCGTCAACGTAAGAAATACAAAAAGTGATCCTGAGATCAGACATAAGGGTGTATTTCTTTTTCAAAGCGCATTGCAGCCTTTCCAAATAGCAGAACTTCCAGACGTCTTTGATTCCGATGGTGACCACGCCAAGAGGAAAAGCTTTCCCGACAAAATCCGGAAATGCATCCTTCAGATCCACCCACAAGGCCAATGATCGTAGAAAATAAGTGACAGGTGTAGTCAATGCCAAGTAGAACGTATCTGAGTCAAAATCGACTTTATTTGCTTCCTCTAGCACCTACAAAACAAAATTGCAAAATCATTGACTTCAAATATTTTTGTCAATTTCAAAACTAGTTAGTATTTTGATTATAACATAATTGAAGGGCCAGTAGAAAAATGATGAGGTTCTATTTTTTCAACATTTGAGAAATACTAAATTTAATTGGCCAAGTGGACCATGAAATTAGTGAATTTACTAAATTAAAAGTTTCATGACTACTGGTCTATAAAAAATAGAATAGTTTCTTTTTTGATGTTTGATTCAATAATTGCAATAACAATTAATTAAGGTTTTTAGTTGAGATAAAAAAGTCAATGGCATGAGTGGGATTCGAACCCACGATCTTCGGCTAGATACGCCGCTTCTCTACCACTTGAGCTATAGTGACCTCGATCCACTCGGACACTAATTTCCCTTCTCAACCACACCTTTTGAATTTTCCCTCCTTTTTGCCATTTTTATCTCAACCAATTACACAACATTTGAAAAATGGCAAAAAAAAAAGGAGGGAAAATTCAAAAGGTGGGGTTGAGATGGGAAGTTAGTGTCCGAGTGGATCAAGGTCACAATAGCTCAAGTGGTGGAGCAGCGGCGGATCTAGCTGAAGATCGTGGGTTCGAATCCCACTCGTGCCATTGACTTTTTTATCTCCACTAAAAACCTTAATTAATTGTAATATATTAATTGGTCAAGCGGACCACAAAATTAGTGAATTTAATTGTAATAACATTAGAGTTCTTTCTGAGTAATTCTCATGATACAAAAACCATTAAACCCTCATTTTGAACCCAGGAACGAATAAGAAAATACCATGATTACAAAATTTTATTATTAATTTCAAAGATGAACAGACAAAAGAAACGAAAATACTGAAATGATATCTATAGTCAAAATTTTAGATTAATTATTGGAAAACTGAAAAAAGTTAAAAAGCTCTAAGCTAAAAGGTTTTACGTTACTCATCGTCTACCTCATAATCAAAATAAACATCATCCTAAGTTTCCGGCGCAGTTCTATCTGTGACCAAATTATTGTAAAACCTTCTTTGGTGAGAAACTTTGTCAGGTGTTGCAAGTCATTATATTTTTCTAAATTAATAGGAAGGGGCCCATTGTAGGAGTTACGAAGCTGCTGTTTTGGTGAGGGTTCTTCCCCCTTTTTTTGCCTTTGTGGCACCCACAACACTTATTATAAGCTCCACAGAATGAAGTGCGGTGGTGTATATACTGTGGTGTGTAAGAGATATCTTCAAACATCAAATTGTTCTTGTGGTAAAGGGACATTTCGGTTGGTACATTGGTATATATTATATATTATGCAGGGTGGGTGACCAAGACCCGAGGGGTTAAATGCCTGGGTAGACTCGTACCCCATCCCTAAAAGGTCTGGGACTTGGTCGGCTCACGTGTCCTGCATAAACCTCTTGGACTTATTCACAAACCCCAAGATTTTGGACCATTTTATCTCGGGGAGTGATTTGGTGATGTCCTCTCCTACAAAGATTTCAAATCTAGACCTAGCATACCTATCACACTCTGCGAGGTAGTGCCTTGCCGTTTCTTCTTTTATTTCGCAGAAGCGGCAAAAGTGATCTGGTAGGAACCCATTACGAGGTCTTCTCAGTGGGCAGTGGCCCATCAGAATACCTATCAGCCTCCTAATTCCCTTCCTTGAGATAGAGAATAGCCATTTCAATTCAGCTGTTTGATCGCCTTAACAAACTCTTTTGATTGCCTGTGTCCGGGGGATAAATTCCACTCCCTAAGGAATTGTTTCATGCCCCAGTTATTGATACTGTACATTGGTACTAAGTAATTCGTCCACGATTTGAAAAATTCCCTCTTACAATCGATAACAGTGAACGGTTAGGGTTTGCATCTGCTCGGACCAATCACATCCCTCCATCCTTGAGGCATATCTACATAGGATTTTTGATTAATCATGCTCATATCTCTATCGCACTTCAGATAGCTATTGCACGGATAGGAAAGAAAACTTTTACACTAGGAATTGCAAAACTCTATTATTTTTATTTTGTCCTGCACATGAATCACAAATTATAAGCGTTCTGACTGCTTGTGGAAGAATTTTTAAATGCCGGAGAGATTTTCATCATTCTTCCTTAGGCGCAAAGGAGTCCCATGGTTCTTCCACTGTGCCACCCATTTTCAATTTGGCCGATTTTTAGCGGAATCTAATTGGTTTTCCCTAGCAACATTTGGCAGGTTAATAGTTAATGTCACAAGACAACAGATGCCAGTGAAATCTTGATTTTGACAAAAAATAGACCCTCCACTGTGCCTTTCATTATTGTTAGTGTGTTACACTATCATTAAGAAGTTTACAATAGATATATTTACTAGTAGTATGGTAATACTTATAATTTATGGGCCGACAATTGGTGTGAACAAATGGTCGTTGCCAGCCTTCTGTGCATTAACCCTATCAGCTCGATGGGCGCTCGGTAGTGCAAGCACAAGAACCTGGTGCTGGCCCTATCTTTAATTTTGTTTGACTGTGGTTCCAGGTTTTTATGAATTCACTGCGTTTTCTATACTTAGGTCTATTTGAGTGCCTGCTTTCGACCGTGTTCAGCTTTTTTTTCACTCACCACCAGCTTCATTTTACAGCAGAGTTTGATTCTTTAATTCTTGATTCTTCACAGATTGTTAAAAATAAGGTGTTTCATTAAAAAAAAAAAATTCACGTAATACTGCTTTCTTCATTATACCAACTTAAATAAAATCCCAAACAAAAGCGTAGCTGTGACTGAGTTTACATGTGTCTGTTCAGTAATTGATGCTGTGTTTTATCCCTGTTGATGTAAACCATTTCTAAAAAGTTACGTTTATGTTTGTTTTGTGTTTAATATTTTTGTATTGTTGAAATTGAAATTGGGTTGGTGTTCAAAATGGTGGGTAGCGAGTGCTGTAGGATTTTGTTTGGGTTTTTTGCTTTACCCTCTTATCCAGATATTGGGGCATCCATGCCAATCGTTCATGGCCTATCACATAAATTAAACACATTTCTCTCTTATGATAATTTGAAAATAGGCTTCAAAAACTATAAAACTAGTCACAATCTTTTTTCCAAAATTTAAGATCCCACACCAGTAACAAATAAGTCTGAAGAAATTTACAAAATCAACTGTATAAATTTCCGGCAACTTACATTGGAATTACATCCCGATATTTGGATAAGAGGGTAAAACAACCAAGATTGCAAAAAAAAAACCAAACAAAATCCTACAGCACTGGCTACCCACCATTTTAAACAATCAACACAATTTCGACTTCAACAATCCAAAAATATTAAACACAGAACAAAACAAAAATAAATGTAACTTTTTAGAAATGATTTACATCAACAGAGATAAGCACAGCATCAATTACAGAACAGACACATGTAAACTCAATAAGCAATAATACACAAAACATATAACATATAAAACAATCATAAAACTCCACACACTGAACATTTCTACATACTCTAATTCTTCAACAAATCTCTCCTTTTCCTAATAATCCCCGTCTACATAATCCTGAAAGGCTAATCAGGTTGAATGACAAACCATTACCCAATTTTTCCCTTTGTCGGTTCCTTTCACCTCAAAGAAGCCGACTCTTCATAGAAAAATGGATTTCTACCCCAACTTCCTCACTCCTTCAAAATCCAATGTACATAAACAATAAACATCTCACTGAACAATCAACACGACACACAGTAATGACACATCTACCCAGAAAACAAACACTTCGAGTGGATACAAATACTTTGATTGGGCCTAAAATTTCTATCATTGTATAAATTCATTTTTTTCATGTCTTACATATATTTGTATAATTTACACAATGTTTATAAATCCCAGGACCTGCAGATAATCTCAATAAAGATCGAAACGTTGGCACGATAAAGAAAACGTTTTTCGAAGGGCCCGTTTGCACGCTCATGCAGTTTGCACAAGCAAACTTGCACAAAAGAACTGAACTAAACGGAACTAAAAAGTTCAAATGTTCAAACTAGTTTGTGCAGTTCTTCATCGGCATGAGAAGTGTTAACTTACTGATTGTCTAAATTTACAGTATAAATATTCATTTACTTATTTAATATTGCATTTATATTGATTGACTTATTTATTAATTTACAAAAATGGAAAATGTTGACGAATTAATTCTTGCGACGGTTGCGATATGCGTTATCAAGAAAAAACAAAAATTGAAGAAGGAAAAGAGAAGAAACTCTGGTTATTAAAAAGAAATTTGTATTCACATTTTAATTTAATTAATGAACTATGCAGTGAACCTGATGATTTTCAAAATTATCTACGTACAGATGAAACAAGTTACCAGCAATTACTCAATTTAGTTTCACCATTAATAGACCCCCTCGTGAACAACTCTCAGCTACATTTTTGGCAATAGGGAGAAGTTCTGGGGATATAAAATTTCCACATTTATTTCCAAACCAGCTCTTAATTCTATAATGCTTAGTGCTAAGACTCAACACTTTTTAAAATTCTTCTCTCTATGTGGTGTGTAGCGAATTAATTTTTTTTACAACTATCTATCAACTTTACAACTAATTATCTCTAGTGGCTTCGGGGCCAAGAGTCAGTATTTTTCAACCAAAATGTCGTAGGGTTGAGATTTCATATTCCGATCAGTATATTCCTGACTCTTTACTTTCCACAAACACGGAAACGATTTATATAACTGTAAAAATTCTGGGAGAAACTCATTAACTTTTTTTGCCATTTCAACAAAAAACAGAGTGGAGCATCAGAAATAACCAATAACAACCACAAACTATCGGGTTGTCCGGAAAATAATGCAGGATTTTAAGTTTTCATTAAAAAAAATCTATATAAAATATTCTGTTTACGTTTACAGGATTACTCATTNATTAATAAGTTACCAACACGTTGGGAGAAATGTATTGAGAGTATGGGAAATTATTTTGATTAAAGAACATTGCTTTAAAGTAACTAGTTTCTTTTTTTTTTGTTTAATACCAAAATCCTGCATTATTTTCCGGACAACCCAATATAATGGTATGGTAAAAAGGATACTAGGAAGCGGGGTTTGCGCTCCTCAGGCACTGCAGCCTTCTGGCTTATTGTACCTTACTTAGTTCAGTGCAATAGACTCAATCCTTCTCCTTAGAAGTATCAGGTCATTGACTGTCGCTGCTGCAATTTGGTTCCCTGAGTCTTTTTCGTACGTTAGGGTGAACCTCCATTGAGCTGTGGGATCATCGTTGTATATACCCATGCTGTGTAGATCTTTTCTCAGATACCAGTGACCGGTTAGTAGTCCTACCACTCCTCTCAGTTTGGCCCTCTCCAATTGCAGCAGTGCTTTTGCCAGTCTTGGTGATGGTTGATCCATCATATTCACTAGAGTTTATCCACTTCTCCTTTTGTTTTGTTTGGATCCCTTCTGCGATGGAGGATTCTATGTTTGTTTTTGTTATCCCAAGGATAGGTTCGGGGCCTATGTATGGTCTTGCGGATCCTCCTCTGGCCAGACTGTCTGCTTTGTCATTCCCAAAATTTCCCTGTGCCCTGGCACCCAAGATATCATCAGGTTGTTGTGTTTCCCCAGGTTTTGGAGATTTTGGAAGCATTCACTGACTAATTTTGATGTGATTCTTTTACACGCTAATGCTTTAATGCTTGGCTATCAGATCTTATGAGGATTTTTTTGCCAGTGGAATTTCTTTTAAGATTTTCCAGTGCACAAGCATTAATGGCATGTATTTCTGCTTGAAAGACAGAAGTTTACTTCCCTAATGAGTTTGATTGCTCATATTTTGGGCTCCGGCTCCTTCGTTTGTTTTGGAGCCATGTGCATACCATATCATTGTATATAATGCTTTCCTGGGTTCTTCCTCTCCTTTATGGTCCGGTGAGACTTTATAGGATTTTGTAAAGATTGTTTCCGGGATCATATAGTCAGTCCACATAATATCGGGTGTCTGATTTTGTTCATTATGGTTTCATGTCCGAATTGTTTGGTTCCTTTCCAATTTAATTGTTTCTGGAGCCTAAATGAGCTTTTCCTAGCCTCTCCTTGTATGAATATTTCTAATGGAGGTAGATTTAGCAGAGTTTCTAATGCATTTGTAGGGGTTGTTCTCATTGCCCCTGTGATACATAGGTTTACTAGTCTTTGTATGCTGCATAATGTTTGGGTAGCTACTTTTTGTTGAGCTTTGTTCCACCAGATTAGTGATCCATAGGTTATTCTGGGTCTTATTACTGCCGTGTATAAACAACAGGCCATTTTCGGTTTTAATCCCCAAGACAAACAATAATAATTATTACAAACAGCTGATAACAAATGTCTACTGTCCCTGATTACAAACTGTCATCAATGCGCAGGCACTAGACTGAAAGGTTAGAGCAATCCTGTTCACACGCTCATGCAACAGCACCAACTTCATGCAATTTTTCTAGCAGGACAGATTTTATTCAAGCCAAACGCTAACGTCTTGCTCCCGTTTACACACAACGATTTACTTGTGCAAACGTGCTTGCACAAGTCAATTGGCGCAAAATTGCATGAGCGTGTAAACACGCCCTCCTACGTCACACCAGACCGCATCTCACAGTCCCCAAATAATCATTATTTTACTACGTTTATAAAACTAAATTTATTTCTAATTTATTATGTACATTGAAGGGGGCTTAAAGCCAGTATATGTACCTTTAAAATAAATAAATAAAAATAAATAAAATAATGCCTTATTGAAAATCGTTTCTGAGTATGGGGGATGCAGAAGCCCTAGGCAGGCGACGCAAGGATTACACTTTCGATGTTTGACACCGTTTTCCTCGTCTTCATCACGAACCGAAACACCTCTCTGGAAAATAAAGAGAAGAAATTTTCGAAAAAAAGAAAATTTGAGAATAAATTCGAGGAAAATCTGGGAACCTTTTTCAACGCTGCTTCACAGTCGCGGAAGGAAGAGGGATCCGTTTCGCCGAGTAGACGCAAGCAACATTTGTCGCAGCAGCCGTTCTTCTTGAGATGCACGTACACCTCCTCCATGTGGAAAGTATGAAACTGTTGAAGTGGACTGTGAAGGTAACAAAAACCCTGGTACGTTTTGAACGCGTGCGCGCAAGATTCTTCCAGTTTATTTATTTTTTCATCCTGTTTGATTAAACGTTAAAGTCGAGTATTTCTCGTTCTGGTCGTTTCTTAAGTTTCAACTCGAAACGCGTTGTTTAATAATTAAAATGGGAAAATCGTGGAAGGGGCGGCCAAAAAAAAGGGGTGAAACGGCCGTTTTCGGGGGAATTCGGCTCTACGTCTACGTCACGGCTCACCGCCACAACTGGACCTGGGCCCCGTTCTATTTTCCCCTCCATGTAAACATGAACGGCGTTCGACTTTGACGTGCCTGCCACCGATCCGATTATTATTCCGGGGTTGTTTTTTTTTTTTTTTTTAAATCGTAATTCCTGGTCGTCCGGACCCTCGACGCAGAACCGTCCCTGGCACGACGGACGCACCCTGCGACATCCGACGCTCCTCAGGGCGAGGGAATCACGTCGACATGAGCCAATGTTTTTCTTTTCGGTGAGTTTTCCCCGATTTTCCCTTCCGGCCCAATTCTCCTTTTATCCATTTTCTATTTAACGATTTCCATAAAAAAACTATCCTGACATTCTCATTCTTAAAATATAAATAAAACACTATTTGATCTCTGTAACCTTAATAGGTACCTTCTATTTTATTTATTGCTGATAAAGGTTTTTTTTCTCCTTCTATTTAACTTTGCACATACATCTAAATATTTATACTTTTCCAATTGTATTTTACGATATACATCCAAACGACAAGTTTTTCCGCTTTCTTATTTTTGTTTATTACTATTTCGACGATTCTACTTTCACTGGTATCGAGGAACGACTCAAATCGATTTCAACTGTCCTTTTAACATTTTTAAATACAATTTACCTATGAAATAGTTTAAAACGTCACAAAAAATACCAATTCGTTTTAAAAGTATTTTGTTTCAACTGACACAACAGAGTTTAAAAGTTTAGAGTTAAATAGAATTAGTGGAAGTAAATAATAACCTCTACGTTTCACAAGTGATCAAGTGACTATTTTTTATATGTATATTTGTAGCCTATACAGACTTGTATATGTTACAAATGTGATCTTTTTCTTATCGTGCGGTCAGCACTGGCACTCATGCCAGCAACCCGAAAGGCACATGCTGGCACTTTGTCAGGGATTAAGAGGCATTGATCGAGATCATAGTTAGGGCGACACGGTGGGTTCTCGAGATGGGAAGGCGTAGAAAGTGCTAGAGGTGCGATGGATCGAGAGGTTGATGAAAAACTTGAAATCGGGAATGTTTCTGTTCGTCGACGAAAGGAATGTTGATGTTGTGGATATTGAGTAGTAAGGAGCTTTGACGATTTGTCTGAGCATTTTTGATTGGAAGGATTGGATGCGCTGGATGAATTCCACTCCGTACGTCCTTGTAGTAAAGTCTTGCATAACAGTTGAGTCTTGACGGTCAAAACGGATTTCAACCCTAGGAGTCTGTTTATTTTCCAAGTCTTCTGTTAAGTTGTTGTCTTTTAAGAGTGGGGATTCCACGTAGCTGTTTAAGTATAGTCCTTGGTATCTGACAGGTTCGAACTGTAGGGTTAGGATAGATTGAGAGGTTGGTGTGAAACTTTTGGAATCAAGAACGGATCATTTCGTTGACAAAAGGAATGTTGATGTTGTGGATATTGAGTAGTAAGGAGCTTTGACAATTTGTCTGAGCATTTTTGATTGGAAGGATTGCATGTACTGGATAAATTCCACTCCGTAGTCCTGGTAGTAAAGTCTTGCATAACAGTTGAGTCTTGACGGTCAAGACGAATTTCAATCCTAGGAGTCCTGGAGAATTTTCCAAGTCTTCTGTTGTCTTTTAATTCTTGTGTGGGGATTCCACATAGCTGTTTAAGTATAGCCCTAGGTATCTGACAGGCTTGGACTGTAGGGTTAGGATGGATTGAGAGGTGAAAAACTTTTGGAATCAAGAATGGATCATTTCGTTGACAAAAGGAATGTTGATGTTGTGGTTAGTGAGGTTAGTGACGTATGATTTTAAGGACTGGGCATGCTGGATATTGGACAGCTTGGTAGACCCCATAGTTCCATTCCATACGTCCAGAGTGGTCGCTTTAAAGTCTTGTATAAGGCTTGATGCTCCAGGTCGATTTTGGTCCTAGGAGTCTTTGTAGTTGTCCAAGTCTTCTATTAAGTTGTCTAGGTCTTCTACGTCCGTTATTTACCAATGGGCTGTGTATCGTTAGATGATCTTGGAATTTTCAAACATACTGTTACAAATTTTTACGTAAGGAATAATTCGCAGCTGATGGTTATATGAGAGAAAAGTAAAGAAGTACGGTTGCATATCGCCAACCGATTGTATCGATATATGCATTTTTCTTACGGAAATCATATGTGGTTAATATAATCTGACCTGGTTCAATTTTTTTTTTTTTTGTGGTACAGTGGACACCGCTTATAAGACTCACAGATATACCTAGCCCTGCCATAAGTTCTGTTACAATCATTCACCTTGAAAATAATCCCAAACAAACGCCTGGCGAACCTTGCTCTCTTGCCTATTGTTTACCGTAGCTGATGAAGTTTTAGTTCATTGAGTCATATTTTATGCTCATCTGCTAAAATACACAAATTTTAAAAAAAATATATGACTACATACTGCTCGTCGTATGGTTGAACTTTTTTTTTTTTTTGGGAGTATATTGGCAATCAAGTGGTTGATTTTCTATTGAGCTCATGATGTTAGCCTCAAGTTTTGTGAAAATGTAAAAGCCTTGTGTGCTAAATAGTCAAGCAGTTTCTCACTCTGCTCATAAACCAGTGAACATAGACAGACCCAGGTAGAACAAATAAGTGGTGTCAATTGATTCAACAAACTATGAATTGTTACATTTTTTTCAATGATGTTTTATGTTGGTTATATTTAAAAAAAATGTAATAATTTAATTTGCCAAGTTATATTATAGCCAATTTTGTTTTGTTTTTCAGGAATCATAGAATAAGATGAGGAATGATTGTAATATTAGATTTCACCTTTAAGACTGTACGTAGGATTAATTGGAATGTAGACTGATGTAGAGTGTTAAAATGGCAAATAATTGCTCATCAAATTCAGTTGCGATGGAGTTAGAAAGCCAAGACAAGAAGCCGGATGAGCAAAACGGTATATCCAAATCACAGCCAAAGTTCGTCGAAACGCCGCAACACATTGACAATGAGAAAGCAAAGATGTTGCTCAAGCCGAGGAAACTGCCTTGCGCGAGCCAGGTACCAACGCATGAGGAGATAGCTCAGGAAATACTTGCCAGGGCGGAGAAAAAACGACAGTACTACCCGGATGGTGTCGATGTTTTGGTCGCGATGAAATCCCCGAGCCAGTTGCGCAATTTCAACCAAGACATTCCACTTCCTCCACCGCCGAAAATTACTAAAGTTAGAGACAAGAACAAAGTTACCCTCGACGCCACAGAACTATTGTCGATTTTAGAAGATGGTGCGGAGACTCATTACGTTGAGAAACCTAAGCCTAAAGTCTGGTCGAAAGGAAGGGGCATTAAGGATTTAAACATTGATCCTGAACTTGAAAAATCTCTTGCGATGCAGCAGCTCATGGAGTTTTCCAGAAAGAGAGGCCGGCCGAAACAAAGTGAAACGAATAACAACAACTCAAAAAATTCTGAACAGCCTAAGAGGAAAGAAGCGAAGAAACCGGCGAATCGCGAATTGCAAAATCTTCTTCAGGATGAAGGCGCTGTAAATATGCTTTACTCAGTAGAAAAAGGAGGTGATGAAGGGAAAGAGAGATTATTGTCATCGAAGAGAAGACAGAAAAAGGTTTTGAAGAAAAAAGCCGAGGAAGTCAAAGAGGCGATTTTGGGTTCTGCTGTAAGTACCACAACGGGTGTGACGCTCCGAAACCAAAGGCAAGAAAAAGTAAGAAAAGCTTCAGTAGATTCAGTCGAATCCGAACACTCAGCCAACAATGATTTCAATTTCCCTGCACCAGCTGAAGCTTCCAAAATCATCAGGAGGCATTCTTCAAGCAGTTCGTACTCTTCGAGAGGTAGCAGTCCGACTCGACGGTTGAGCATTGATTTTGAAAAATCGCCGGCCGTCCAAGAACTGCCAAAAGAAGAAAGGGCTACAATAAAAATGTCAGAAAGGGCAGAAAAACTCATCGAGATGAAATGTAAAGAGTTGAATCTCCAAAGGGAACATTCAGTTATAATAAAACAGCTAGTCCAAGAAAAGAAAAACGGCCTCAAAGAAAGACTGCAAACAGAGTTTACTACCAAATTTAGAGCAGCTGTCAATTCGCCAGTGACTATGTCTTCTCCAGTCGTACCCGTAAAGCCATCGGCTATTCCGAAGAGCCCGTCTTCATCGCCTTCAAAGCCTGTCTGGAAAGTTGTCGAAGAAGATTGGGAATCGTTCGATGAGACCTCTGACGTGGATGGCGATACGGCACCAGCTCCTTTACCTTTGAAACCTGGCGTTCACGAAATAATAAAACAAGGTCTAGCCTCTGTTATGAAAACAGAACAAGACAAAATTCAAAGCAAAGCGCTTAAAAAACCAGCTGTGCTTAATTCAAAGAAGATATCAAATCTCCAAGTTAACAAGATAATGACATTACAAGGAGAAAAGAAATCCGTAAACAAGCAAGCCTCAGATGTAAATCCTGATGTTAAAGAGCCTGCAAAGGACAAACCAACTGAACCATCTTCTCCAAAGAAAACTTTCCTAGTCAATTCAGGTAAAAAGAGGAAATTTTTTATTCAAAATAAAACCATTAAACTTTTCGTTTCTTTTTCCAGTACCCCTTAGCAAACCACAAGAGCAGAAAAAAGACGATAATCGTGATTCTAAAACTTCAATTAATCTTTTAAAAGGTCCCTTTCCAGGTAGTGATGTCCGGCTGGAAAAACTGGAAACAATAATGCGTGTAAATATTTCCCCACAAGCAACTAGATTGCCTCAATCATTCAACGCCAAAGTAAGCATAGGCAGTTTATTCTATTTTTTATTATTTTAATAGCTAGGTTAATAAGTAATATTTTCTTTTGATTTTTAAGGTGTTAGGAGAGCTTTGTCAGGCTCTTGATTTCCTTAGTTCTGAACATAGCACTACTGCGATAATCCTGAATTCATCTGCTGTCAAAGGCATATATTGCAACGGAATCGATTTGCCTTCCTTACTTTCTCCAGATCTCGAAAAGAGGAAAATTCTTGCGAGCCAAACAGCATTGGCATTAAGGTAGATTTATTTTGTTGATGTCAAACAAGTACATTAACATTTTTATAAGAAACAACTTAAAATAAAGATTTAACGTTTTGTTGGTTTTTAGGGATTTCATATGCAAATTGTGCATGATTGGAAGGCCAGTGTTAACTGCAGTCAGCGGGAAGGCGATCGGTCTCGGTGTCATAATGTTGGCCTACTGCGATTATGTCATATCGGATGAGACTGCTACGTTCTACACACCGTATTCGAGGCTTGGGTACTTACCAGAGGCAGCTGCTACCTTAGCCTTGCCTCATGTTATCGGCCATAGAAGGGTAAACATTTCTTTCATTCTGTGTTGTATATTTTTATATATACTGTTTCAATTTTCATCTCAGAAGCAAAAACAACTCCCTCTCTCTTTCCCTCCCTCCCTCTCCCCCTCTCACTCGCCCTCTCTCCTCGTAATTGTCCTCCTCATCGCAGCAGCAAAAACAACTCTCTCCCACTCACCCTCTCTCTACCTCCCTCTCCCTCTCTCTCTATCTCCCTCTCCCTCTCCCTCTCTCTACCTCCCTCTCCCCCTCTTCCTCTCTCCAACTCTACCTTCCTCTCCCTCTCTTCCTCTCTCCCACTCTCCTTCTCTCCCACTCACCCTATCTCTACCTCCCATCTCTCTTTCACTCTCTACCTCCTTCTCCCTCTCCCTCTCCCCCTCTTCCTCTCTCCAACTCTACCTTCCTCTCCCTCTCTTCCTCTCTCCCACTCTCCTTCTCTCCCACTCACCCTATCTCTACCTCCCCTCTCTCTTTCACTCTCTACCTCCTTCTCCCTCTCCCTCTCTCCTCGTAATTGTCATCCTCATCGCAGCAGCAAAGACAACTCTCCCTCTCTCTCCCTTTCTCTCCCTCTCTCCCTTCCTCTCTCCCCCTCTCTCTACCTCCCTCTCCCTCTTTCTCTCTCTCTCTCTCTCTCCCTCTCCCTCTCCCTCTTTCTCTCTCCTTCTCTCCCACTCATCCTCTCTCTACCTCCCTCTTCCTCTCTCCAACTCTACCTCCCTCTCCCTCTCTCCCACTCTCCTTCCCTCTCCTCTCCCATTCTCCCTCTCTTCCTCCCTCCCACTCTCCTTCTCTCCCACTCACCCTATCACTACCTCTCTATCCCCTCTCTCCCTCCCTCCATCCCTCCCCCTCTCTCTCTATCTCCCTCTCCATCTTGTAATTGTCATCCTCATTGCAGCAGCAAAAACAACTCTTTCTCTCCCTCCCTCCCCTCCCCTCCCCCTCACCCACTCCCTCTCTCTCACCCATTTAGTTTTATCTGTTTATCTGTCTGTCTTTCTTTCAAGCATTTTTTCTCTATCTCTTTCTCCCTTTCATTACTCTGTTTGCCTGTCTCTCTCTTCTTTTTTTCTATTTGTCCCTTTTTCTTTTCCTCTTTTCTCTCCTTTTATTTGTTCAGTCTCTATCTCCTTCTTTAACATTATCTTCTTCCTCTCTTTTTTCTACTTTTTCCTTCTTCCTTACTTTTTCTGATTATTCTTTTCTTCATGCATTATTTATAAATCTCCCTCTGTTTTTCTTCTTTTCTAGCTTTTATTTGTCTTATTTTCTTTTCCTCCTCTCTCTGTTTCTATTTTTTTATTCTCTATCTTGTTCTCTTGGCGTTCTCTTCTCACTCTCTTTCACTTTCTTCTCCCTTACTTTTTCTGTTTTTTTCTTTTCATTTTTTCATGCGTTGTTTGTAAATCTCTCTCCCTTCCTCTCTCTCTTTTTCTCTTTTTTTATCTCTTATTTGTCTCTTTGTCTTATCCTCCTTGCTCTCTTCCTATATTCCCATCTCTACTCCTTCTCATAACATTATTTTCTCACTCACTTTCTCTACTTTTACTCTATGTTGTATATATATGTATCATTTGTTTCAATTTTCATCGCAGCAGCAAAAACAACTCTCCCCTTCTCTCTCTTCGTTTTAAGAGCTGTGTTATTGTGTTGCAGAATGGAATTTGTTCAGACACCTCCTTTAAACTAACAAATCTATAATATTTGTTGCTGTTATGACAAAAAAAAAAAAAAAAAAAAAAAGAAAGATATATATGCATGTATCTCACGTTTTAGGCGACAAGCCTGCTACTCGGTTGTGCCCAGATGGACAGCTCTGAGGCAGAACAGTGCGGCCTCGTCTCCAAAGTCGTACCACGGATTGTGCTCGAATCCAGGCTGATGGAAGTTGCAAACACGATCACCAAGCAGTCAATTCAAGTAAGTTAATCGGTATTTATAGGGGCATCCCTACGTTGAATCGCCTTTATTTATTTTTTTCATATATAAAAAAAAAATTGTTTACAATTTTCCTCCCATGCACACATCCTCTCAATCTGTCTTAATTTCTTGTTCACTCATCATTCTCTTTTTTGACAACTGTGTTCTTTTCAGTCTTGTTCTTTTCTTTCTTAATTCTGTTAATGTTATTAGAATATAAAGTTTTAGTAATGCAAATAAGAAACGTTATATGATTCCAATTCAGTTTAACAGCCCCAAATCTCTCTACCAACAAGTGGAAACCAGATTCATTTGTTCCTTGTACAACCGAGTGACAAAATTATAGACACACCCCTAATTGTTATGATTTTTTAATGTAATGGGTTTGTACTACAAATATTTATTCAAAACATGAAATTTTTCTTCATTAAATTTTAATATTTCAGTAAGCAATAGAAAAAATGATTAAAATACTAAAATTATTTACACATGGGATAAAATCAATTTAAAACAAGGTTATAATATTTTGTGGCATTACCACTCAGTGTTATTATTTCCAGTAATCTTTCTGGAATGGTTTTGTACAAATTTTGAATAAAATCTTGAGGCAAATTATTCCAGGCGGAGGTGACAGCTGTTTTAAGCGGCCCATACACGCTCAATATTATTGCACAATATTTAGGTTTGTGCAATATAGTTGATCGTGTGTAGACGAAATTGAAAGGTTGTGCAATATATTGTGCTAAATTCAAATCCTTGAAAATATATTGTGCAAACGGGAAAAGGTCTGTAGGCAATATTGTGCAATATCCCATCAGTCAGTATCAACACATGGTAGAGTACGCGTCGTCATGGCTGCCAAGGAAGCTGATAGGCAATTCATTTTCGAATTCATTGACGTTTATCTTGGCCTTTCAGCTCTGTGGGATGTGAAGTGTTGTAGAAAAATACCGCGAAAAATATCCGGAATAAATATTGATGAAGTTGAAAAAATTGTTTCTGGCACCCACATCGATAATCACACAACACAAATCACTATCACTCAACATGACTTCACTACATGAAATTCTGATTGGAACTAATTTCACAATATATTGCCTTGAAAGTTGTACATCTGTGCTCGCGATTGTGCAATATATTGCACAACCATCAATATCGTCTACACACGATCAATTAAATTGCACAACCCAAAATATTGCGCAATAATATTGAGCAGTGTAGGGCCTCCGTCAAAATATTGTACAACCCACATTGTGCAATAATATTGAGCGTGTATGGGCCGCTTTAAGTTAGTCGACAGAGTTGTACTGCTTACAGTCTTGATATACCTTCCTCGATAATTTTCCCTTTACATTTTCTATAATGTTCAAGTCTGGTGAGAGTGCAGGCCATTCAAGTTTTTCAATGCTGTTCTGTGAAAACCATTCTTTAACAATTTTTGCAATGTGTATGGGTGGAATATTGGAGTCCCTTCGCATAAATCGCTGAAACTAGTTTTTTCTTTGTTCATTAATTTCTTGTAATATTCCAAATTGACTTTTTTTGGAAAAAAACAAAGATTCCCTTTTTTATTACACCCAATACACCCCCAAATCATCAAAGATCCACCACCCATTTGGCGCCATGACAAAATTTTTTCTTCTTTGGTTAGATCATGAAAGTAGTACGCGTATCCGTCCGGGCTGTCCAAATTGAATTTTTTTCATCAGAAAAAATAACTTTTTATCAATAATCTTCATTTTTCAAAATGTGGTTTTCAGCAAATTTGACACGGGGTAGTTTGTGGTGGGTTTCAGAGCTGGTTTGCGTTTCAGTTTTCTTCGGACTGTGTTTTCAGTTTTTTTTAAAGGAATCTCTGAACAGTTCGAACAGAAACGTCAACACCTGCCTTCTCTGCGATGGCTTTTGCAGTCGAAAAGCTGTTTGAAGCAACGCACAGGATGTGCGATTTGTCTCTTCTGGTCAAGGAAGGTCTTCCAGAGCTATGCCCTCTTCCATAATCTTCACCTAGTCATATTATCTTCCGATGAAAAAAATATCATGAACAATATTCTAATGGCAAAAGAAATCATTTTTGACTGTTGAAATTGTGATTTTTTAATGTGTCTATAATTTTGTCACTCGGCTGTATGTGGCATTTGGTTTGATTCCCATTGATATGAAATTATCAGTGCTGATTTTAGATCTACTACATTAGTTTACACGGTTCTTGATGAAATTCCAGCTTGCATTGAAAGAGTTTGACATTTAATTTTGAGTGCGATATTTTTGTGAAAAATTTATTTCAGAAAAATAAGAGGAAAGTTTTGATTTCAGTGACTGATTATGTATTATCTAAGGATGTAAATATTTTATTGCAATGATTTAAATACGTTTAATTACCATAAATTATTTGTGTTACAGTACTGTTGATATCATTGAAGACAAAATTTCTTTTTAATTCTTATAATTTCAAGTTATGCTATTTTGTAACCTTAAAGCGTTAAAAAAAAAAAACCACAATGATAAATATTAAAGAAGGTTGAATTTTATATATTTCAAACGGGCTTTGTTGTGTTTTCCATTCGAACATAGCGAACACAGTATGCACGAAGACTTGGCCCATGATACAACAATTCAGTCACGTTTCTCACAGTTTTATCCTTAGTGATGCATATGTGGCCTTTTGGGCAGGAACATTGGTAGTACGCCGAATATGTATCTGCGCGTATATGCGCACAGAATTCACCTGATTGACACTTGTAAAGCTAAAATTTCAAACGAGATTAGTATTGAATTTTTTTTTTTTTTAATTTTTTGAAAATTACCTTGGAACAAGTATACTCTTTAAAATTGTGCGTCATGTTCATGGTGGTACCGCTGAGGCGCCAGTATAACGGCCAGTCGCATCTGCATTTCAGACTTATGTCCTTCTTCCAGATTCCGGCCTTTTTGTCTTTTGTTTCCTTTACCGTCAGTCCAACATCTTCACGGCTGCATATCTCCATGTTGTTCGTTCTTTCACATGTCTAAGTATATAGTTAAATTTATTTGTACAATATACAATGGTACAAAAGACAGGGTTAAGTTTATAAAATAAACAACTTTCTTTTTTAACACATCCTTGCCACGTTAGGCAAAATATTACTGTAGCATGTAATCTTGAACTGAAAAAAAGTTAAAATATTGAACTTACTCGTTGTAATCAAGAAAATTTATACATTCAACTAAACTTAGAATAAAGTCTCTATATTGAAAACTCACTCTACCAGGTCTATATATTTTTTGCTGGTTTAGGTTTTCACTCAAGGCATATCATTTTGTCATATTCATTATTTAGAAACACTAGAGTTTCTCACTGAAGATGGTGTAAGCGAAAAAGGTGGCTCCAGACAGGTTTCGCCAAATCCCGACCAGTGGGGATTCCACTCGCTGAGCAACAAGAATCAGTGCACTCCTCGGCCTAGTCGGTTTTCACGTCTGTTTTCAGTATTAGAAATATCGGCCACTTTTTCACTCACGAACACTGGATCAAGGTCTTGAAGAAAAAAAGAAAATTGAGATGTTACTGCTAAGCTTTTGACCTATTTTAAGGTCGTCATCAGGTCAAAACAATCTTAAATATGTCTACCGATTGATATATTTAAGATTTTTGCAGGTCTCAAATATGATTGTAGCAGTATGAAATTTTCATTCATTCCAGAAATTATACAAAATGGAAAAAACTTTTTAAAAATGAATTATCTAAAATAGTGTTACAGTCCTTGGCAATGTTGGGACTGAGTCGGTGTCAATCTGTAGACATATTTAAAATTGTTTTGCCCCGATGATGACCTTAAACTAGGTCAAAAGCTTGGCGATAACTGAATTTGCTTTCTTCTTCTCAATCCAGAGTATTTGTATATAGGCACACTTTTTGGCGAATGCCAAGCCAAGCATCTCGACACTTCGCAAATATTTGGCATTTTGAGAATCCTGCATGTCTGGAGCCACCTTAAGCCAGCGACAAAATGGCGAAGTGGTGATCAGTTTATCGTGTGTTCACCAAATCGTAGATCAACAATCACTACCGACTATTAAAGTTATATTGAACTCCCAGTTATTAAGCAGTCCAGTTAAAGTTAAAAAAACAATTTTTGGGGCTTACTTTCAATTGTGACTGGTTGTCCAGTGGAACACTTTGGTCGTCGTTCTTCCATTCGAAAGGGCACTGGCCTTTGGCACATCTGCATACTCTGTATACTTTGGACGGGAGCCAATACCTCTGGTTGACCACATTGCATACGCTGTCCGGCCTGCACACTTCAAGCTCTTTTTCATTTTTTATCTAGGAAGACAAAAAATATTATTACAGGCCTTAAACGCATTCAGTCGTACGTACATCATTCAGATAGTTGTATACGACATTGTCCAGTTTGCTGTAGAATATCGTATCTACGGTCTCGGTTAGTACAACGCAAGGGCCGAATGTAAAAAATACAAGCAAGTACAAGTTTCCCATCACTTATCTCGTTGAACTACACACCTTTTCAATATCTATTTATTTACACAGAACAGAAAACTCAAGTAGATGAATTAACAATAGATTAAATTGTACTACAGCAGGAGAAACTTCAAAGCTTTACCTGGGCAGGCTTTAGATCAGTCTTTTGTACCTTTAGCGGGCGGGGTGGATAAAAAAAAACAACAGACATGCAGTCCAGAACAGGTTCTGGATCATTTACTCCAAGAGAAGGGGGCTTATCACGAAAAAAATCCTATCTGTATACAATGTCAATAGGTCATGTGGTCTATTTATATTCATTGATATATTTATTTGCCTCTTGATTGCCAGACAGAAGACTAAAATTTCTAGCTAGCAAAATATCTATTACTAAATTGATTTATTACTAATAAACTTGTTATTACTGATTATTGATGATTACTGTAGACACTAATAACTAACGAAATTATATTTTATAAATTTAATATGTGATCAAATTATCATAACATAATAAAAAAACTTATTAATTTGCTATTTTTAATAAAAATAAAAATGATATAAACTGATTATTCAGAAATCATGAGATTCGGTCTGGTGTGATGTAGGTTTCAGAAAAACATTTTCTTTATCGTGCCAACGTTTCGATCTTCATTGGGATCATCTTCAGGGCCTGGGATTTACAAGCATTATTTAAATTTAACAAATACATGTAGGATGTGGAAAAAAGTGAATTTATACAATGCAAAAAATATTTTTTATATTCAATCAAAGTATTTTTACTCACTCAAATGTTTGTTTTCTGCGCAAGTGTGCCATTTTTACGTGTCGTGTTGAGAGTGCCAGTGAGATATTGCTGTTTTATGTTTATATAATAAAGATCGAAACATTGGCACGATAAAGAAAACTTTTTTCTGAAACCTACATCACACTAGACTGCATCTCACGATATCTGAATAATCATCAATTAACGGTAACTAATCACCACACATTATATATAGCATTTTTCAGTCAAATGAAACTTTTTTCAGTCAAATGAAACTTTTTTTCAAACAAATGAAACCTTTTTTTCAAGCAAATGAAACCATTTGTAAAGCAAATGAAACCATTTTTCAAGCAAATGAAACCATTTTTCAATCAAATGAAACCTTTTTCCAAGTAAATGAAACCTTTTTCCAAGCAAATGAAACCTTTTTTAATCAAATGAAACCATTTTTCAATCAAATGAAACCATTTTTCAAGCAAATGAAACCTTTTTTTTCAAGTAAATGAAACCTTTTTTTCAAGCAAATGAAACCTTTTTTTCAAGCAAATGAAACCTTTTTTCAATCAAATGAAACCATTTTTCAAGCAAATGAAACCTTTTTCCAAGCAAATGAAACCTTTTTTTTCTTCAAGTAAATGAAACCTTTTTTCAATCAAATGAAACCATTTTTCAAGCAAATGAAACCTTTTTTCAATCAAATGAAAACTTTTTTCAATCAAATGAAACCATTTTTCAAGCAAATGAAACCATTTTTCAATCAAATGAAACCTTTTTCCAAGCAAATGAAACCTTTTTCCAAGCAAATGAAACCTTTTTTAATCAAATGAAGCCATTTTTCAAGCAAATGAAACCTTTTTCAATCAAATGAAACCATTTTCCAAGTAAATGAAACCTTTTTCCAAGCAAATGAAACCATTTTTCAAGGAAATGAAACCTTTTTTCAAGCAAATGAAACCTTTTTTCAAGCAAATGAAACCTTTTTCCAAGCAAATGAAACCTTTTTTCTTCTTCAAGTAAATGAAACCTTTTTTTCAAGCAAATGAAACCTTTTTTCAATCAAATGAAACCATTTTTCAAGCAAATGAAACCTTTTTTTTTTTCAAGCAAATGAAACCTTTTTTCAATCAAATGAAACCATTTTCCAAGCAAATGAAACCTTTTTTCAATCAAATGAAACCTTTTTCCAAGCAAATGAAAACTTTTTTCAATCAAATGAAACCATTTTTCAAGCAAATGAAACCATTTTTCAAGCAAATGAAACCATTTTTCCAAGCAAATGAAACCATTTGTCAGGCAATTGAAACCATTTTTCAAGCAAATGAAACCTAATGATAATAATTATGTAGAGGGATACATAAATGACATTATAGTATTAACAATAATAAGAAACGTTCTTGTACCTAAGCCTTACGATTAAATTGTTGTAATATTAATGTGTAGAGATTAGTGACTGTTAATCGATATCTGTAATATTAATATTCAATCATCATAATAATTATTGTTAGTACTATAATGTCATTTATTTATTCCTCTACATAATTATTATCATTAGGTTTCATTGAAAAATGGTTTCATTTTCTTGAAAAATGGTTTCATTTGCTTGAAAAATGGTTTCATTTGATTGAAAAAAGTTTTCATTTGCTTGAAAAATGGTTTCATTTGATTGAAAAAATGTTTCATTTTATTAAAAAAGTTTCATTTGGTTGAAAAAAAGTTTCAGTTGACTGAAAAATGCTATAAACTAACTTCAGCTTAATTGTATAGTTGGCATAATTTAATGTTAATGTCTGATAATCATAATTTTACTTTTATCGGCATGGGAAGGAGAGAAATCTTCCTCTGTGATTGTAAACATAAAATTTTGAGAAGCGTTTTTAGTAATTAAGAAGATATATTTGTCAATATAGTTTTTTGTGATAGTTTGAAATTAATTTATATCAAGGTAACACAACAGAAAAAAAACAATTAAAAAGATTTAAACATTTTTCTCATGTGAAAGTTTATTTCATCAGGACAATAATTATATAGATAAACGTTTTTCTCTCTCTTCAGAGCATGATCAGCACGAAGGCTCTCCTGATGCACACTCTGAGGACACGTCTGACGAGCGTGCTTAACATGGAAGTGCGCATGTTGGAGCAACACTGGACCAGCGACGATTGCCAATTACGCATCAAAGAACTTCAAGATAATCCGATCTTCTGATAATAATTGTAAACTTGTCCGTTGCAAGTTGTTACTGTTTCGTGGGAACAAAAATATTGGAAGGGAATTATTTTATTATACGTATTTTTTTAAGTTTATTTAGTTTATAATATCACTTTTGTTTGACTTTATGAGTAATTTTAACTCCTAATATGATTATTGCTAAATAATTCCAATGTTAAGGTTTTTTTTGCAATTGTTGGTAAGTTTTTATGAAATAATTATATTTAAACTGTTAGGTATTTTTATAAATAAGGGTCTCATTACTTTACTTTGTTAAGAAAAGAAGATTTTTTTAATGCAAAGCGTATAAATTTTTGTTTATATAAATTGTTCCAAGAATGGATTTTAATTTTAATTTAAAATAGTTTAATTTTTGTTTTTTGTTCCACTGCTTTAAATTTATAACAGAGCTTGTTCGTTACCAAAAATTAAATTAAGAATATATTTTCGGACAATCAAGGGGATTGTATTTTAGAAGGAAGATAACGATTTAATGCGAAATCGACAGCAATGTTTGTTTAATGTTATCACATTTGTTGAAAATCATAGATGGCAATAATTACAATTAATGTTATAGGCGAAAACAAAAGACCGAGCAGTAAAAATTATGCAATATAGATAATTTAAAGTCTATTCACTGGACAATATATTGCTATAATGAAAGAAAAAATAAACATCATTAAGGCACATTCCATTCACAATTGTTCAGGCTGATTTTTTATTTTTGAACTGTCTCGCTATTGGTCTACATTATTGCATTATTAGATTTGTTGAAAACCGTTGCAGTGAAAAACGAAGTGCGACAAGAAACAAAGTTTTACAGCACTTTCTCGACGAAGCTGTAGTTTCAAATTTTAGACTTTAAAAAAAGTCTCTGTCAGCTTTTCAGAGATATTGGAGGTGTGCAATTTTCATTGATTTTCTTTTTAATTTTGTGGAAGAGTTTATATATTAAATATAAAACTTGTATTTTTAGATAGATTTATTTTTAACTTAAATGTAATAACCATTTAAATAAACAAAGTTATAATTAATAATAAATAGTTAAATAATATAAAAGTATAGTTTGTTATAAATATATTTTATAGAGAATTTAAAAAAAAAGTTACTTATACTATATATTATTATCAGGTTATGTATTATCTTTCTCAACGTTGTGTACAGTTTTTTAGTTCACCCCCTCCCCACCTTTTGGTTAGACATTCTACTCCATAAAAAAAAATATATATATTGTTAATATGTTTCAAATATTGTTTTTATTATTTTGTATGTAAATATGAAAAAATATCCTTATTTTGAATTAAAAAAATTGAAGTTACTTTTGTTTTTATGTACATAAATATAAATAGAAAGATATAGATACACTGATTATTACGCCTTGATTAAAAAAACAACAATCTTTATTTCTAAACTTCAATAGTTTATAATTGTACGTTTACTTTTTAATTTTTTTTTTAACCTTTGCAAGACATTTTTATCTCATTTTCTTCAGCCATATACATACTGGAACTTTAAGCGACACAATGTGACTTGGTCGATTTCTCGTAACCCATTTACGATAGACGTTGCAAAAACAAAACACCAATTTTAAGATTTCTTAAGATTTGTGGTTTTAAATAATTTTGTTTTCATTTTTCTGCGTGTCACTTCATTCTTAGTATAAGGCCTGATCATGAAAAAGGTGTTCGATTTTTTCAGTTTAAAATTAATTTACGTTCGCTCCAATTTCACCTGTATTTTGACATTTTTCTGTATAGGTGATTTTTGTAAATAGTTCGTTTATTTACGTTTTGCATATATTTATTTAAATTAACAATGTGTTTTAGTAAAATTTTGATTTTTACTACCACATAATTAATATTTTACGTTAATGTTGAATTTTCGCTATGTTGTCCATATCGGGTTTAGAGATTACTTTGTTTTCTCTGCTAAATTACTCTCATTATTCGGGTTTGGGATGCTGATGTTTTTGAGAATCATGTTACAAATTTGGTCAGTTTCTACATTCAAAATGGAACCAAAAAGTCCTAATTAACTTTGGTCCTAATCGCAGCAGTTTCGGAGTTATTTCGCTTTTTCTGATTTTTTAAGATTTCATGACTTTACTTCAAATAAACGATGATAACTCCAAAACTAAAAGGTTTCGGACAAATCCGTTGATACCATTGAAAACTACGTTAAATTGCCAATAAAACGTGATGAATATTAAACTTGTGAACTTTCGTAAAATAAGCATTTTAGTAGAGAAAACTTTGAAAAAAAAAAAAAAAAATTGATCAAACCTAGCGACCAGCAAATTTCAGAAAATGTACTCCATTTAATATCCTTTTTAGTGGTTTAGTTTCTTTTTTAATTACTTTTTTCAAAGATGAAGAAATTGATGGAGGAAAGAAAAAACCCGTGGCTGACAGATTGATAAAGTGGAAAATAAAATAAAAAAAACTTGAGGAAATTTTGAATAAATTTATTAAACGTTTTTTAAATTTGTGTTTGAATCCGAAATAGTGCAAGTGTTTGCTTATTTACCAACACGACTGCAACTTTGATTAAAGAATTATTGTATTATTATTCTCCAGAATAAAAGAGTTTTAATATTAAAACGTTTAATAAATTCATTCAAAGTTTCCTTAAATTTTCCACTTTATCAATCTGTCAGCCATATTATTTTTCCTTTCCCCCATCAATTTCTTCATTTTTGAAAAAAGTAATAAAAAAGCAATTGCACCACTAAAAAGGATACTTCCAGCTCTGAACCCATCCAACAGAGTCTTTCTCCCCTCTTTTCTCATTCCTGGTGGGACGCCTGAGCTCCGAAGGGACAGATGCACGCCTGCCAGGGGTGAAAGCTGCAGCTTTTCTAACGATTTTTACCCGATAAGGCTACCTGACCGTTTCTATTTCTAATGGCTGTTTCAATCGAGATATGTTGTTCGAAGAGATGGATAGTAGATTTTACACAGCAATATTTACGCTCGTACAGGGTGTTCGGCTACTTGTGTCACAAACTTTGCCAGTAGATTCTACATTTAAAATGGAAGCAAAAACTCCTAATTAACTATGGTCCAAATCTCAACAGTTTCGGAGTTATTTCACTTTTTCTGATTTTTTAAGATTTCACGACCTTGCTTCAAATAAACGATGATAACTCCAAAACTAAAAGGTTTCGGACAAATCCGTTGATACCATTGAAAACTGCGTTAAATTTCCAATAAGATGTGCTCAATACTAAACTTGTAAATCTTTATGAAATAAGAGTTTTAGTACAAGAACTTTGAAAAATATATTTTTGTTTAATTTGAAAAATTTACTATGGTGATTCTAAACTACCATTCCCAAACCTAGAGACCAGCAAATATCAGAAAATGTACTCCATTTAATATCCTTTTTAGTGGTGTAATTGCTTTTTTAATTACTTTTTTCAAAGATGAAGAAATTGATGGAGGAAATGAAAAAACCGTGGCTGATAGATTGGTACGGTGGAAAAATAAAATAAAAAAACTTGAGGAAATTTTGAATGAAATTATTAATCTTTTTACAATTTGGGTTCTGACCGAGATAGTTCCTTAAGTTTTTTTAATTTTTTATTATTATTAATCTTTCCACATAACCAATCCTTTTTTTTTACGTTTTTTTCTTTTCCTTCGTCAATTTCTTCAACTTTGAAAAAAGTAATTAAAAAAGCAATTACACCACTAAAAAGGATACTAAATGGAGTACATTTTCTGGAATTTGCTTGGCTCTAGGTTTAAAAATAGTAGTTTCGAATCACCATAGTAAGTTTTTCAACTTTGAAAAAAAATTTTTTTTCAATGTTCTGGCTACTAAAACGCTTATTTCACGAATGTTGACATGTTTAGTATTATCTCATCTTATTGGAAATTTAACGTAGTTTTCAATGGTACCAACGGATTTGTCCAAAACCTTTTAATTTTGGAGTTATCATTGTTTATTTGAAGCAAGGTCGTGAAATCTTAAAAAATAAGAAAAAGCGGAATAACTCCGAAACTGTTGAGATTCGGATCATAGTTAATTAGGAATTTTTGGTTCCTTTTTGAATGTAGAATCTACTGGCCAAATTTGTTACGAGTAACCAAACACCCTGTGTATGAATATCACCATTGCGTTGGGCTTTTTTCCAGTGTAAAATTGATTTCCGATTTTGAAAAAACTTATTGGAAATTTAACGTAGTTTTCAATGGTATCAACGGATTTGTCCAAAACCTTTCAGTTTTGGAGTTATCATTGTTTATTTGAAGCAAGGTGAAATCTTAAAAAATTGGAAAAAGAGGAATAACTCCGAAACTGTTGAGATTCGGACCATAGTTGATTAGGACTTTTTTGTTCCATTTTGAATGTAGACTCTACGGGCAAAGTTTGTAACTCGAGTAGCCCTGTATAATAATGATGAAAATTTAAAATAAAACCTGTACAACCTCAGATGATGTAGTATAGTCTCATATTTGCTGAAACTAGACATCTAGACATAGCCGCCTATTTTTTACTTTTTTTAAATCAGATATGCATATTTCTAAGTGTGTTTTTTTTTAGCTGGAATTGTTGAAAAATAACAAACACTGTGGCAGCAATGATATACAAAAAAAAAAAAAAAGTGATAAAAATATCGCCACAGTTGCAACCAGTCATGAATTTATCTACCCTAATCAAAAAGAAAAAGATTTGACCTTTTAAATTGATCAACCATTTACTTTGAATTACTACAATAGAACCTTGGGAAACGTTTATACCCTCAAGAATGGCGTGGTCAATTACAGAACGAAAATCTGAAAAAAGTTGGTGGCCACTGTTTGTAGTTTCTCCTCTAGTAAATACTGGAAAATCTTGAACCCAGAATACAAATGGTGGAGCTAGATATAAAACATACATTGCAAAGTGCCTTATGCGAACTGAGGAGGACCGAATGAGCCAAGGGGTTAGGGTGTCCCACTCATATTTGCAACATTAGAAGTTCTGGGTTTGAATTCTGGCACAGCCCATGGAATTTTAATTGTGAATCATAGAGAAAGTATCGTAAAGAGGTTTGATCCCGTGACACCCAACTAAAGAACCACAGCTTGAAGATATCAGGTTCGACAGGTAGACATCTGGTAAAAATTTGTACAAAGAACTGGGAGCAATGGATTCCACAACATGGCAGTTTACATATTTAGGAAATGTAACGGTATTCCTCTTCAAAATGGTATTCTACTATTTGAGAAATTATCGATACTTTTTTTTAAAATTTATTTATCAATGAGGTTTTTAAATTACCGCAGTGCTGTTGTTTTTGATAAAAGCTCCATTAGCAAATATGCTCCGAATTTAAACCTTTACAGCGAAGAGTCGCCACACCGGGTTGTCCCTTGTGGCGCCCTCACCATTTGTTGTCAAATTTTCAATTTGAAAATGGAACAAGGAAGAAATATTCTAAGAAAAATATAAGAAACATTCTTTTCTACTGACATCCATGATTGATAGTTCTCAAACCCTTTACGGCCAAAGTGCATTTTCACAACAGTCAAAATTTGTCACTTATTGATGTCAAAATTTTGTTTAATGCTTACCTAATTTCTTAACGCACCCATTTAGGAGAGAAAAATGGTTCACTTTTTCATTCACAGTACCATTGGCCACAAATGGGTTAAGCAAGATCCATCATTATAAAATAAATGACATTTAGTGTGTTCATCAATCATCAAATGGACTCGGCTATCAAGGAAATGTAACAAAATAATTTTTAAAAATTTTATCAATATAATTTATTTTAAAATGAAGCTTTTTTGTACTTTCTCTTCTGCGAATACAAAAAATTAAAATTAATTTTACATTTAACTTATTAAATTTAAAGTGAGTGATAATAAAAAATACAAAAATATTTGTTAAAGCTTGATATTTACCTATACATAATATAAATTAAGGCATCTTATTTTTAGACATTTAGTTAAAAATAAAAATAAGAAATATTTACATTTATAAAATACAAAGGAAATAAGTCTTTACAAAAGATTTTTGATCAAGTCTTCAATTGGTTAAAAAATAATATGAGACAGGAAGACTCCATTGGAAGGCAATGTTTTCAAATATTGATTTTTATCGTCCCATGGATTTGTAGATAGGAGAGGACGATGTACGTCACCCAAAGCGAAATGAGTAGTCCTGCAGATGTGTACCTGCCGGCAGCAGGGCCACCAATTTCCGCCTTGCCAAAGAAGGAAAGGTTTCGCCTTGCGAGCAAAAGCACAAAAGCTATAATTGCACAAATAGAATAAAGAAGAACGCTGAATCCAAGACCTCCAGCGGGAACAATAAACTGCGTACCCTGAGGAATAAAAACAAAAAAAAAAAAAAAAATTAATAACGATGTTTTCAAACAATTTTAGTTTAGAAAAAAAAATTGAATTATAGAATTATAGTTTTTTATATTGTTGAACCTTGATCATATGATAAGCGGAAGCGACAAGCCATGGCATTCCGACCCCCATAAGGACATTGACGGCAATACTTCCTGTGATGTGGATTATACAGCCATCAGCGAACATCTCCATTCTGGTCACGGCCCTCGCACCCAGCAAGTCTGGCAATGAGGTCCCCAAAGCGACAAGGGTAATGGCTACAAAATAGCATCGCTACAATGAATCTTCTCAACTAACCTTAGCAGTGTGGTAAATAGTGGCCATCATCCACGGAAGTCCTAGACCTAGGAAAATGTTAACAGAATTGCTTCCGTTGATATTCCCTACGCCATCATCGGCATATTTGCTATTCTTTACAGCAGCTCTAGACGCAAATGTATCAGGGAGTGAAGTTCCGAGAGCGACAAAAGTAATTGCTGCAAACAAACACTCATCTCACTTTTCTGTGTTACAAAGCCTAGTTTTCATTCATGTTATCACAAAATCTACCATGCCTTTAACTACTGCACAACACTAAAAATTATGTTTAATTAAATGTTAGTTTATTCTTACAAGTTATTTGTGAACTAACCTTATGTAATGGTATTGTTATGGTTAGGTTATATTTAATGGCACATAGGTTAAACTAAAATCCGTATTCATTTAAAAATAAATGTTAAACAATCGTTATCAACAAATTATTAAACTGTACTCAAATCAATTTTCAAAGAAAACGGTCTACCAATAGCAACCTTTATCATCATGGTCTGCATATTCTCAATGGTTTTGTCTGCCAGAGTCAGCACTTCACTATCCTCGGTGGGCGTTCAATGTGTTATTGTGCCAGTTGTGTCTTTTGTCGTGTTACAAACCAACCACCGAAGACGGTGAAGTGCGTCTGGCCAAAAAACAATCTGCGTATGTGGATTAGAATGATCAGGTTACAACTAGATGAAAATTACTGTAGAGCAAGTTCAACGTCAAAAAGACAAACATGCAACAGCACATAAGTTTTCTTGTAGGTGAATTATGTGTTTAACTGATGTAAAAATATCGGCTAATTAATTTTTTTTTCAAGACGAGAAAACAAATATAGAGGGACAGATCGTATTCACTTCAAGCAGGTTGGATTATCAGATAAAAAGTGGTAAATGATGAACTTTTTGACTTAAAGATAAAGTGATTGTGAGTAATTAATGGAATTTCAAAATTTAATTAGACTTTATTGTACGACTAGACATATAAGAGGGTCATTTATGATTTTTTTGTGTTTTGGTTGAAATAGTAGATGTAGTGCTGTGTAGATGTAATAGTCGGGGTGTACTGCAAGGGTACTGCACACTTTAAGACCTATTGTATTCCCCGTTCTCTCCTAAAGCACACCAGTTTCAATGGTTGAATCTCCTCTATGGTCACCTTGTACATCCCAAAACACTTCCTCCTGCGGGCTAGTGTAGCACCGCAGTTTGTTAGTAGGTGTGTTATTGTTTGCAGAATCTGCATGTGCCATCTTGGATTATTCCAATCTTTGTCTACTTAGAAGTCTTGTTAAGAATCCTATTAAGAATCGCAGTTTATTCCTGCTTCCTTTGACACATTCTATAATTTCTTTTCTTCCGAAATTTTTTAGGGGATTCTTGGATTGCCTGTGTCCAATGAGTGAATTCCATTGTTCCTTCATTTTCTTTTTGTCCTATCTGAGATACTCATTGATAGTGTGGGTTCCTATGCCATAGAAGGGTTCGGGTCTTTTCAGCGGTATAGCTTTTCCTTGCAAGGGTGTCCGCTTTCTCGTTGCCTTCTACTCCCATGTGTCCTGGGACCCAGCAGAGGCTGACTTTGTTCTGCGTTTTGCAGTTCAACACCATCTTTGAACTAATGATATTTGAGCTTAGTGCTTTGATGGCTGCTTGGCTATCTGACATGATAGCTATGCTCTTGTTTTAGTCAAGCTGAATTGAGTACATCTCTCTGGGTAAATCTCAGCTTGGTGTATTATCCCATGGGTTCTGAGTGTTTGGTTCCAGGACCGACTCCCGCCCATGTACCTTCTTTAGTTGTAGATCCATCTGTGTACCAAATGATGGTGTTTCCCTCTCGTTCCCATGGTATGGTATGGTGGAAAGGATACTGGGAAGCGTGGTTCGTATTCCCCAGGCACTGCAGCCTTCTGGCTTATTGTACCTTCCCAGTTCCCTAGTTTAGTCAATAGACTCAATCCTTCTCAGAAGTATCAGTCTGACCTGAGTCTTTTTCGTACGTTAGGTTAAACCTCCATTGAGCTGGCTTCGCATTCGAAGATGATATGATTGGCTGTTTCCTCCTCCTCATTGCATAATCTGCAAATGGGATCATCGCTGTATATACCCATGTTGTGTAGATGTTTTCTCAGATACCAGTGACCGGTTAGTAGTCCCACCACTCCTCTGAGTTTTGCCCTCTCCAATTGTAGCAGTGTTTTTGCCAATTTTGGTGAGGGTTGTTTCATCATAAGTTTACTATGTCTAGCACCGCTAGAGTTTATCCACTTCTCTCTTTGTTTTGTTTGGATCCATTCTGCGATGGAGGATTCTATGTTTGTTTTTGTTATCCCAAGTATAGGTTCAGGGCCTATGTATGGTCTTGCAGATCCTCCTCTGGCCAGTCTGTCTGCTTCCTCATTACCCAAAATTCCCCTGTGCCCTGGCACCCAAGATATCATCAGGTTGTTGTGTTTTCCCAGGTTTTGGAGATTTTGGATACATTCACTGACTAGTTTTGATGTAATTCTTTTACATGCCAACTCTTTAATAGCTGCTTGGCTGTCTGATCCTATGAGGATTTTTTTGTCAGTGTAACCTCTTTTAAGATTTTCCAGGATGCAAGTTTCTCGTTCCCATACTTTTTTGGTACATAGGTTTATTTGGAAGTTTTTAATGAATTCAAACATCCTGTTCATGTTTGTCTCTTGGAGCCACGTCAGATGGTCTTACATTATTTAGTTGCTATCTCTCCATTTTAGTTTTATTCCTGTTGGACGTTTCTCTTTGATTATACTAATGATAATTTTCTGTGCTGTCCTAGTCCCAATACTCTTCCCATGCTAACTGTGGGACGTTCTCATTTCTCCAGTTAGGCAAATGCAAGTCTGTATTTTTGTGAGTTCTTTTCTTTTAGTTACTTGTTGCAAATATGGGTCTTACTATCATGGTGTACATCCATAGCAGGGTTTCCAGGCCACATCCCCAGTTCCTTCCTGCTATTCTCTGCACACCATCAAAGCTCGCGTCGCCTTCATGATGGTAGAGCCGATAGTGCTGGGCAACAACAGTTTCTAACCTTTTTAGCCTTGTATAAAAATTTTCAGTACAATGTGACATACGACTTCAGAATTTTTGTTGTTGTTGTTGTTTTGGCTTCTCAGGGGAATGGTGTCGCAATGTGAAGCTGGCTTCTGGTATTCAAGAGAACTGTGAATTGCTCCTTAAGCCGTAATCAGTACAAGCAAATTCACAGAATCTGGTGTAAAAGAATACCGTCTGTTATTTTGTTTGTTTTTGTCAGCAAAGTTGACGTAATAAAACAATGTGAACAAGCACAGAGAAAATAACCCTAATTTGTTCAGTTTTGGGTAAAAAAGATAGTTACATTACTTTTTAATTTAATTAAATCAATTAAAAATGACTATATTTTATGGACGCAGTATAAAAGGCTCTACAGCCATCGTATTTTCACCAACTACTTGAATTGAATTATACATGGAAAATGATAAAAATGTAAAAGCGAATTTATAAAATCATGCCTGATACAGATCACAATGCCAAAAAAGATATACTAAGCGCTACAACATAACTAGCGAAAGTGAGAAAAATGATTGCTCCTCTTGAATAATATAAAATATCGATTTCATAACATTCATATTGGACACCACACTGCTAAAAAAAAATAAAAAAAATTGTATACATATTTTTTTTGCCTATTACCTGTCATGGTGTCCTCTAGTCCGACAAGGCAACCGAATATCGTGGCAAGATCGCCAATCATGGCGGTCATCATGCCGATGCAAGCGAGCGAAACTAAGAAACACAGCCAGCCTCCTAAAATCCCTGGCGGAGGGATCAAGGCGAAGAGTACCTGGAAATATTTTTTTCCTTAGCAAACGAATTTTTAAATTTATCAATTATAATCACCTTCCAGAAGAACGAAGCAAAATGAAGTACGTAATCAGAGGTCGTTGCGTTTTCAATATCACCGCCTTTGACGAGCATAGCGTCTTTGAGCTGCTGACCCCAAGTATCTCTGTACACACGAAATGAATCGATGTTTGTGTTCGTCATTACCATGAGTCTATCCATCATATTATGAAAATCTAAAAAAAAAAATTGTCAATAGAATAAAAATTTGAGGTTATTTTTTATTTTTTTATTTGCAATTACCGTCATCATTAGTTATCGTTACAGCACATCTGTTTATGTTTCCAATCTTTGCGCCGTCAGTTGGTGCAAATAGTTCAATCTCAAAATGCTCATCCTTTTCTGCTTCGAGATCATTAACAATCGGGATTTGCAGAGACCTCATAACCTATCATGTTTTTAATAGAATTTGCTTCTCATTTATGTTTAAAAAAAAAATAATACCTCTCCATGCTTGAAAGTTAACGTTCCAGTACCGCCTTTGTAATCCCGGCCTGATATCGCAGATTTATCTATAGTCCTCCATTGTACTGACACTTCTCCGTCTGAGCCTTTTGTTCTGAAAATATCAACTGTGACTACTCCTGCGCTTTCTTTGACAATAGTGCCGCGCTTTTCAAAAGATAATATCCCAGGTTCTGGAAATGTTAAAAAATTGTTTTACTAAAAAAAAAAAAAAAAATCAGCTATGTTCAACGAACCATCATCATCGAGTATAGTGACTTCCATGATAGCCATCCGTCCAAGTTCGACGTTTTGATCCTCGTTTCTGACAAGGCTTAATCTCAAGAAGAATTCCTCATTTGGCTCCCACTTGTTATCGTTGACAATTTCAACGATGACTTGTTTTTCTTTCTGTCCAGGTTCGAAAGTAATAATTTCATTTATTGGTACATAGTCTTCGATTTTTCTAGCAGTTCCATCGATAGTTTGTACTCTTTAAAAAAAAGGCAGCTTGTTAAAAAACCTAACCTAATAATACATATTAAAAAAAAAAAAATTACCTGACACGAACTTGTTCATTAAGGTTTCCGTGCCTCCAGATTGTGATTCCAAATTTTCCGATATTTTCTTTCACCGCAACTGTTGCTGCATGAAACTCGATGACAGCATTGTTGACCATGTCTGGCGGTGGTGGGACATCTCCCAGATCAGGCCCATGAGGATGTTCGTTGATCGTGTCGTAGACCTGTTTGAGCTTTGAACTAAGAATGGGTCGCAGCCTCCTTCCACCAGACATAGTTCTAACAGCGCCTATCCTGTACCACATGGTTGAATGCTGCTGATTGTCCACTAATCTGTAAAATTTTCAGTCAAATTTTAGTTTTTGCCTGAAAGGGTGAGGTCAAGTTAGAATTACTTTGCCGCTGCAAGTACTGCAGCATCTTCATCTGTCAATCCTTCGTATTTCTTAACTTCTCTTATAAATCGGACAAGGTTGTCTTTGTCAATTTTTCCTTCTCTGAAGAATAATTTTTCAGCAAGGACCTTTTCATCTTAACAAATAAAAATTAATTAAACAGAATTGATTTAAAATTAGTAGTAAGTTTAGGCTTACTTTCGTCACCTCTTAAAGGCCCTAGTTCAAGCTGCTGTTTGTTTTTGCTTTGTCTGATTATACCAAGACCGCACCATCCCTTGTCAGCGGAATATGCGAAAAGCGTCAGCAGGGGGAAAAAGACGAAGGTGAGGACGGCTTCCCATAATTCGACCCGATTTGCAGAGATGACCTGAAGTATGATGAACATCCATATGTAGGCGAAGAAGCTGAATAGCCCAGTCACAATGAACACCTTGAATCGGTTTATACGTCTCGTATCGTCGCCGTCAAGTGCAAGCATGCATATGCTTGTGATGATGAGCAGGTTGAAAGCCGCAGATCCTACTATCGTACCAGGCCCAAGCTGTCCCGCTTCAAAGTTATGGCCAATGATTTCAATGATCGAAAGCAGAATCTCGGGCGCGGATGTGCCCAATGCCATTAATGTCAAATTGGCGACTGTGTCGTTCCAAACTCTAACTTCGATGACTTCCGGCTCATCCTCCTTTAACCCAGCGACCACTCCACCAACCGAATTATAACTTCCATTCTATTAAGTGTAAAAATTAATTTATTAATGAAGAACACAAAAAGAATGAAAATGTAATACAATAGATTAAGTGATAATTTTTATATTTTTTTAATATAAATATATAGGTGTTGTAAAAAAATGAACAATAATAATTACCAATATTCTTTTTATTTTGGCAAATCCCTGTTGCGTGAAACAAAACATATTTAATCTTATTTACAATTTATATTGCAAAGAATTCTTAGATTGTTGGATTATTTGCCAAATTTGTATGTATAGAAAGGGAAAAAAATTAACTCAAAAGTTAAAATATGCAAAATTATGTATGGTTCCAATCTTTGTAGAAGTCATTAGACAGGTGAAAAAAAGAAGACTAATTGCTGAGTTCACCAAGCTTTCAGCATCTTACAGAGCCATCATCAGGGCCCCCATTTTATTACAAATTAAAATAAATACACAGTAACATACGATTAAAAATTAATGTTAAACATAATATTAAAAATTAATACAATGCTATACATATTTTCCAAAGAATGAAGAAAAACAATTAACATGGAAAACAATTGTAAAAGAGTTTTGAGTTTAAGGTTATGTAACCCTGATGATGGCACTGTAACATGCAGATAGCTTGGTGAACCCAGTAATTAATCTTCTTTTTTTCACCTGTCTAATGACCTCTACGAAGATTGGAACCCTACATAGATGATCTGCAGGTCGATCAACAAACATATGCAAAATTGTTAATTAACTAGGTACGCAGTGGCTGTGTTATATTTTTTGCCATGCTAGATGTTTTGGGTTCGAATATAAAATAGTTTCAATTATTTTTAATTCAGAATAATATGAAAAACTATTATACAACGTACGATGGTTCGACCCCTCAATGAATACTATGGACATTAAGCTCTCCTGTACAACACGAAAGTACTTTTTAATTTTCTTTGTTTTGGGGTGATGTAAACTTTTCCAACATCATTAAAGTCGTAATATCATCCAAACTACATGGAAATTAATTTTTATTGTAATTAAGTAAGCCGTGTGTATTTTAAATTTTAAACATTGGATTCAAATTGTATCTATGAAATTTTTAAAATTCTTTAATCCAGTCTATCATCTACTGTTACTTTGAGGACTTTTTTCAGTCGGCCGTCCCATCTGGGCTGTATTATGATTGTGTATGTTGTCACCATTGCCAAAGGGACTGTTTTTAACCCACCTGAAATTGATGGACAATTATGGGAATGCCATTGACCCACTTAGAAGAGTAAGGTTTACCAGGGCCACAGTTCAATGGGCCGAAGGTCGTCGCTAGCCTATTTGATATTTTCAATCTCATTTTCAAATGGCCCATTGTCTTTAGCACTCTCATTTTTCACAAATGGACACAAAAGCCAAAAAAGCCACTATCTAAACAAAGATTGTCGTCGCAAACTGTTGTCAAGCATTGTCTAATCTATTCGTTTTGAGACAACTTTTAATTACAAAAGAATTATTTTTGGCTCAGTTGGTTCAATTGAGTTTAAAATTCATGCTATTATGTAATAAAATATGTGCAAAAATTTTAATTAATGACAGATGATGATCTGATCAGCTTTGATCGCTTTACAAGGCCGATCTATTCTCAGTGGTTTCTTTTTCACAAACACATTTGGCCTAATACCATCTCATTTTATGAAATTTGTGAAACTGAATGACAGCGTAACAAAGATCATCCACTCTCAAACCTACTGACACTTTCAACTTGATTGACATAGATATTTAAATATGAACACGAAAAATACAACTATTTTATAAATGATAATTAAATTTAACTAAACAGAGGAACAATTGGTGTTATTAACACAAACACGGTTAGGGATAACCTGTACAAATTTGAAGGTACTTTTGGGTGAAAGTTTGCAGAGAAAGGACGCTCTTGTACCTTATGTCTTAATTGAAAGATTCTCTTTGGTTCTTTCCAGGGAGCAAGTAGGAATGCCAATTTATTATGAGGATTGTGCTTGAGCATGGCAGTATGTCTTTAAGTACCCTGTTTTCATTTTTAGAAAAACAGAGATGCTCTTTTAACTTATTTTTTAAAATAAAAAATACTATGTTAAAAATTTTGCAAGATTGTGTATGCATATTAGCGTGAATAGTAGTGTGAGAAGTCTGATAGCACAAGAGTACTCAATTAGGTTATTTAGCATTTGAAAGGGTGTTGGAGAAATATCAACTACTCCAGCATCAGTAAGTGGTAAGTAAATAGGAAAGATTTAAGAATGAGTGTGACTGTTTAAGTTAAAACGTGTATGTGTTGTTGGGGTTGTTTGTCAATAGTCCCAGAGACTAATGTCGATGAACAGGACAGACCTAACCTTGAACTGCTAACAGCACTGGCATATGCTGCCTTGATATTGGAAGCATAAGTACGCCAATATTTTATTACAGCTATCCTCGTGTCTCCTGATTCAACATCCTTATTTCAACTATCGTGTTAAACTTACCCTTTTCAGCTTTGAGGACGTTTTGCTTAAATAGATTTTCCTCGTCTTGCTTGTAATCGTCTCGATCGATGTCATAAAAATGTCGGTGACAATAGCTACTCCAAGGAAGAAGTACAGAAGGCCCAGGAAATAAAGGAATGCTCTGAAACTGTAGTTCCATTCCCGCTCGTCGAGCACAGGCAGCAGCAACGCTGGTCTGCATATGTCCGGTGGTCCGTAAAGATACTGCGATTCTTCCTTCATCCCTGAAATCCAGCATAGATATTTTTGTCTCTAATCTTTTTCTAACTATAAAATTTGAACTATATCAAATAGAAACAACAGGAGTAACTTAATTACTTTTCTTAATTTAACGAACTTAATTGTATGTTAGTAATGTGTTGAATTTAAACATCGAAACAACTGAGAAATTATGGAACAAAGGGGAAACAAATTTCATGAAAATTTTTATTCAAACTCTAAATTAATTATAAAGAAATGTTTTCCCCCTTTTTTTTAACCAAAGCCAGAGGACAGACAAAGTATAATAAAAATAGTAAATAATAAAGCAAAGTATGAATTAGATGAACCTAGAAGAAAGTTACCCTTAGGTGAACGACAGAGGCAAACAACAGAAAAATGCTGAATCGTTTTAAAACTGTTGAGACATGCATTATGCATCTCGCATTATGTTTAGACTTTTTTATGTGATAAAGTTATTTTAAATTGCTGAATTAATCAAGTTCAGCATTAATACGTTGACAGGTTAAAATTATACAATTTTTACAGGTTTTTAGTCAGGAGAAAAACATTGGTTGAACATTTAAAAAGGAATTCAGAAAATCTATTTGTAGAATTTCAATACAAGTGAGATTTGTTGGTTTTTTACGAAGCCTTTGTACATTTGAATAATTGAGATAAAACAGTCAAAAATTTTCAAAAGGGATTTTTTACCATTTGACAGGATAAGTTAGAAAGGGTCCGCAAAAATAAAAAAACCCAACAAAAAATCTATTCAAGGCGTTACTGTAGAAAAACGTTTACAAACAAAATTGAGAAAATCTGTTTGTAGAATTTCAATACAAGTGAGATTTGTTGAATTTTTACTGTGCCTTTCTTCATTTGAATAATTGATATTAAACAGACAGAAAATTTTCGAAAAGGATTTTTTACCATTTGACAGAATAACCTGGATAGGGTCCTCAAAAATAAAAACCCAACAAAAAATTTATTCAAGGCGTTAATGTAGAAAAACATTTACAAAAAAAATTGAGCAAATCTGTTTGTAGAATTTCAATACAAGTGAGATTTGTTGGTTTTTTACGAAGCCTTTGTACATTTGAATAATTGAGATAAAACAGACAAAAATTTTCAAAAGGGATTTTTTACCATTTGTCAGAATAACCTGGATAGGGTCCTCAAAAATAAAAAACCCAACAAAAAATTTATTCAAGGCGTTAATGTAGAAAAACGTTTACAAAAAAATTGAGCAAATCTGTTTGTAGAATTTCAATACAAGTGAGATTTGTTGAATTTTTACTGTGCCTTTCTTCATTTGAATAATTGATATTAAACAGAGAAAATTTTCAAAAGGGATTTTTTTACCATTTGACAGAATAAGTTAGATAGGGTCCTCAAAAATAAAAACCCAACAAAAAATCTATTCAAGGTGTTAATGCAGAAAAACGTTTACAAAAAAATTGGGAAAATCTGTTTGTAGAATTTCAATACAAGTGAGATTTTTTGGTTTTTTACGAAGCCTTTGTACATTTGAATAATTGAGATAAAACAGACAAAAATTTTCAAAAGGGATTTTTTACCATTTGTCAGAATAACCTGGATAGGGTCCTCAAAAAACAAACCCAACAAAAAATCTATTCAAGGTGTTAATGTAGAAAAAAAAAATCTATTCAAGGTGTTAATGCAGAAAAACGTTTACAAAAAATTGAGAAAATCTGTTTGTAGAATTTCAATACAATGAGATTTGTTGAATTTTTACTGTGCCTTTCTACATTTGAATAAATGAGATAAAACAGACAAAAATTTTCAAAAGGGATTTTTTACCATTTGACAGAATAACCTGGATAGGGTTCTCAAAAATAAAAACCAACAAAAAATCTGTTTAAAGTGTTAATGCAGAAAAATGTTTACAAAAAAGTTGAGAAAATCTGTTTGTAGAATTTCAATACAAGTGAGATTTGTTTAATTTTTACTGTGCCTTTCTACATTTGAATAATTGAAATAAAACAGACAAAAATTTTCAAAAGGGTTTTTTACCATTTGACAGTTATATAGGGTCCTCAAAAGTAAAAGACCAACAAAATATATATTTAAAGTGTTAATGCAGAAAAACGTTTACAAAGAAATTCAGAAAATCTGTTTGTTATTTTATTATTTTTGCTGTACTTATTTGTGTACAAGCAAATTTATTCAAGTGAAAAACATTACCAGGGATGCCAGGTGTTTATAAACAGAATTTTAAAAAGTTTTAACTTAAAAACTAGTGTAAAAATCACCAGAATAAAGCCGATTTACGATACGAACTGCAAACATGATTCGATATGATCATAGAAGGTTGTATTGATTGAATATTATTGAAGCTTTTTTTGGCCTTTGGCTCAAGTTGGTGAGATTTTCCTCGTTTGTTTTTTACCAGTACAAACAAGCCTAAGGTCGTTGGTTCGAATCCCGCTCGTGACCCTTGCTTTTTCATATCAACCGAGACCTTAGATTAAAAGTATAATTAGTTAAAATATAAACAATTGTGATTTTTTCTATTGTGGTCTGCAGGGTGATAAACCTATTGTTTAATACGTTACCTCGGTCCCATACACTGAAGATGGAGTGCCGAAACGTAAATTAACAAAAATAAGCGAGGTTAGGCTGACCAGGATGTTAGAAAACTAAAGAAATCCAGTAAAATGTTTGAAAATAGAAAAAAAAACTGATCAGGCACGACAAACAAAATATTGTAACTAAATATTTAAAATTTGTATCAATGCACAGAGACTTGAACGATTTAAGAACACGTCATCTCCTTGAAGTCGGAAATGGCCAGTTATTATTTATTATGTCCATTGCTCACGGTCGTAATCGACCCGTTCATCTAATTTTCATGAAATCGACTTATTTTTCTTATGTCCTCGTCGTTGAATTGACAAGACTTTGGTGCGTCCACGTTTGATGTCAAAATTGCCCCTCCGATACCTTCGCCAATCCTGGCTATTTTAAGATCGGTTTTTTATCTCAGCAGGCGTTTAGTTGTTTTTCTTTTTGAAGGTCTCGGCCCACGTGCAACGTGGGAACAAATCGGAATTGCTCACGGGGAAAAAGTTTTTGACCCGTGCTTGATTCGAATCTAAAAGCGTCTAATTAGCCAAAAGTCCCCCCCCCCCGAATTTACCTTTAAGCTGGATGTAACAAGGCGGATTCGGATCAGTGCGAAATTTTATTTTTGGATGAAACTCCATTGAAAATAGACTAGAATGCCGCCAGAGCGGGTGTCTTATCTCCTATCCTATTTTTAATTTTTTTTTTTTAAATGACCCTTGTCAAAGTCCATTGGTCAGAGACTAAATTAAACCGCGACGGCCCCCGAGGCACGCACCGCGGAGAGACCCGCCGTCGGAATCTCCTGAAAGAACAAAGCGTCGAAAAGAAAAGGTTAAAATTGTAACAGAAAATACAGGAAGCATTGTAATGAAATTTGGCTATTGCATATGGAGTCAGAATTCTGTAGATAGCTGTACTTCCTTCCAAAGCTTGAAGCACATCTCCTGTTTGCAGTTCGAATGTTTTGCAGCTCATCATAATATGGTTGAGGTTTTCTAGTTCACATTCACATTTTGGGGAAGACCAACACCCAACAGGTAGGCGCCACATATGCCATGCCCAGTACGGAGACGCGACATTATGGAGAAGAAGGCTTCTTTCAGACGAGGAGACTAGTTAATTCAACTATTTCAACAGACGGGTGTCAAGGAGTGTAACGTGGTAGCAAAATGTTTGGTAATCGCCCCAACCCCTTCACACGCAGTCAACCGTCCGCCCAGGCAGGTGGCCAGCAGGCACATGTGCCTCTCACGTTCTCATCCCCACTGCTTGACTCAAGTCAAAAGACACTGCTCGGCATTGTTGAGTCAACTGAGTTCACCATAGAAAGCGTTGCAATTGCAAGTTTCAAAGTGCAAGTTCATTGAAAAGATATGGGTCATGAGGTGTGAGGCGTATAGCGAGAAAATTAAAAGAAGCGAAGGTAGGACGAAAGTAGCACAGCTTTGGGAGAAAGCGCCCGTTTCCCAATTTTATAACAACAGATAAATCCACGCTTTTCTTTACTGCGTTCCCTCCTTTTTGTTTCTCTTTTTGCAGAAGAGCTAGCACAAGACGTGCTCCTGCTTCCTCGGGTCCTAATTGGGTACTGACCTCCCGTTGGGAAGAGAGGATGATTCCACAAGTTGCCTGGTGTGAAACCAGCAAAATAAAGTCTTCACACGGCAATAAACTAGTTGAGAGTCAACCGGGCAACTTAGCCGAATCAACCAAACCGCCTCGTCTGAAAGAGGCCGAAGGTTTCTGCGAACCACGGTTTCCTTCTTAGAATGGGGAATAAGGAGATGCAAGATTTTCCCACAGAAGATGCAAACTAAGCCGTTTGCCAGTTTTTTGTATTGGTTTTGTAGTCGCTTGCTGGGATGGGTCTGTTCAGGGGGTAGTCGTAGCGAGGCGGATTCGCCAGTTTATCCACCGTCTCGTTATGCCGACCTCCTGCATGACCTATGACCCAACAAAGAGCTATTTCTTTATTCATCTCATGCAATTTATAGTTTCCTAATTCTTATATGTAGTCTAGTCTTCTTAGCATAAAAAATACATCACTCGAATAGAAGCCATTCAGAATCCTTTCCTGAGGACTATTTATCTCCCATACTCTCCATTTACTCTCCTCTATCATGAACTTAGATTCCAATTTAAAATTCCAACTCTTGAATTCCTCAGATAACCTTCCGACATTTTACTTTCCTATAAACCTATTAAAAAAATAATACCTATGAAATAGGGCGTCGGTGGCCGCAAAGGTTTAGGTGTTGACACAGCGCTCATCAATGTAAGGTAAAGGACCCGGGTTCGAATCCGGCCCTGCATTCCAACCCGGGTAAAAAGCTTTGAAGACTTGCTTCTCCGATTTTTTTTTCTTTTCCGATCTTCTACCAGATAAATTATCATTTTAATCAGTACTGACGATACTGACTACATTTCATGGAGG